TGCCTCCCTTTCCACGTCCAGACATTGTTGTTTGATGAGCGATTTAGGTCGTAAACGAACTTAAGAAAGATGGGTAGTGGGAGCTTTATATACGTGAGGGCGCGGTGGAAAGGCGGGGTGACCTTCGCCGTTAACCACCCTGCGGGGACACATGCTTCGTCTATGCGCGCACACCGAATGACCACCTGGCAAACCATTAGCCCCGCCTACCCACCGCAGCCGCAAATAAATATTTCTCATTGCAACCCTTTCCCCAAGAGTTGTCAATTCTACATTCCAACATGCCACCAAAGCCATCCGCCAAGGGAGCCAAGAAGGCCGCTAAGACCGTCACCAAGCCAAAGGATGGAAAGAAGAGAAGAGCCCACCGCAAGGAATCGTACTCTGTCTACATCTACCGTGTCCTCAAGCAAGTTCACCCAGACACTGGAGTCTCCTCCAAAGCCATGTCTATCATGAACTCGTTTGTCAATGACGTCTTCGAGCGCATCGCTGCTGAGGCCTCTCGTCTTGCTCACTACAACAAGCGTTCTACCATCTCTTCTCGCGAAATCCAGACAGCCGTCCGTCTGATTCTTCCAGGAGAGCTTGCCAAACACGCCGTGTCTGAAGGAACCAAGGCCGTCACCAAGTACACTTCCAGCAAGTAAATACTTGGTCGATAGCAACCCCACCGAACCCAACGGCCCTCTTTAGGGCCACAATTACTCTGAATCCATCAATTTTCAAATAAAACTTCGTTTTTATCATTTACTGTATTTCTCGATTTCTCAAGAATCTGTCCTAAATTTGTAAACCTAAACATCTCTAGAAAAGGCAGAGCGATACCCTTTACCAAACACAACTAGAGCCGTTGCAAGCTTGCAAAATTTGGGAAAAAATATGAAATTTTCCAAAAGAAATGTTTCCTCTAAACCAATGTTCGACTTTTTTTGGTGTAGGTTTTTTATCACTGCTTTTGTGTTACAACATATTTTTGAGGAAATTAGAAGTTCCTAGATACAGAGCAAAACGGATTCAACTTCTACAAATTTATAACCAATAAAAAAAATTCAATCAGAGATTTTCGCAAATCGAAAGTTTGAAGTTGGAAGTCGGTGTGTTCCTTTGCTGCCAGAAAGCTCAGCGTACGCTGTCAATTGCTATTTCATTTTCTTTGAAAATTTGATTTCGTTCATTTGGTAAAAGGGGGACGTTCAGTGATAAACACCTAGCCATGAACCCCAAACAATGGCGACCTGAGGCCTTTTAGTACTTTTTTCACTTCAATGACGTCGATCAATGTTCTAAAAAAAGAAATAGCAATGAGTAGCGCATCCGAAGCTTCCTGACAGTGGGCAGCATCTAACGTCGTCCTCCTTGGGATCCCATCCTTGAGTAGAGAAGCCAGTAGTCTTCGTAGAATTGATCGGATTCCTTGCCATCCCAGCTGCTCTGGAAACTCGTTACAAATCGGACTCTTCATCGGCTCCTCGGTCCGACTTCTCCTTGATTTCTCCAGCTTATATAGCACCCGTAGATCAGATCTGGAGATAAGATAAGAAAAGAGTTCATGAAAGTTGTCAGCACGCTGAGTTTCTGTTCATTTTTTGTAATAAAAAAACGGAAATTGTAGATTTACGTCAGATTACTGTAGTTTTTGATTTAGGTCAGCGTCTTGATTTAGGCCAGACTTTTTGATTTAGGTCAGTGTGTACCATCAGAACACCAAGAATTTTAGAATTGAAAAAAAAGAGAAATTCCGATGTCTCGAAATCTCTGATTCTCGACACCTCCGAATCTCAGAATCTCAGATTATCAGACCACCAGAATTTCAAATTTTTTTGAATTTCCGAATTTAATACATGAATTAATCCGAATTTTCAATCGGAAACTACAGTAATCCATAATTAAGAACTCTGAATTTCAGAATTCAGAAATTTAGAAATTCAGAAGTTCTTAAATCCTGAAATTGTAAAATTCGAAAAAACCAAAACACCAGTATTCGAAAATTCTAAGATTCTGAAATTCTAAGATTCCGAGATTCTGAGATTCCGAAATTCTGCAATTTTGATATTCTGGGGCTCTGAGATTCGGATACGGAAAATCGAATAGGTTTTGAAAAACTGTACAGGGCATCTGTGAATTAGGACCTCAAACGTCGATAAGTTTCATTGATATGGTTGCAGATTCTGTGAACAGACGCACAGAAAAATTGAGTAAATTCCTGTCCCGCTCGAAGTTTTACCTGATTCCTCAAATCTGTTTTGGAAACAAGTAGATTTTCTTGCGAAATGTTTTATAAGTAACAACGAAATCATAGAATTTATTCAAGGAAATATATTTTTTGGATTCATGTGTGGCCCTAAAGAGGGCCGTTGGGTTCGGTGATTGGTTTGCATAAATGCGAAGGAAATTATCCTCCGAATCCGTACAGGGTTCTTCCTTGGCGCTTCAAAGCGTAGACGACGTCCATGGCGGTGACAGTCTTCCTCTTGGCGTGCTCGCAGTAGGTGACAGCATCACGGATGACGTTCTCGAGGAACACCTTCAGAACTCCACGGGTTTCCTCGTAGATGAGTCCAGAGATACGCTTGACTCCACCACGACGAGCGAGACGGCGAATAGCTGGCTTGGTGATTCCTTGGATGTTGTCACGAAGGACCTTGCGATGGCGCTTGGCACCTCCTTTTCCGAGGCCTTTTCCTCCCTTTCCACGTCCGGACATTGTTGAGCGATTGATGAAGACTCACAAGTGAGATGAAGTTTCCGTCGTCTGTGTGCCGGTTTTGTTCTGTCTGCGGTGGGTGGNCNNANNTANNTACCTCCACCCTGCGGNGACACATTTTACCTCCCGTTCTCNCTTGCCCAATGTATTTGACTCCGCCTACCCACCGCAGTGTGATACAAAAGGTTTCGTCTGTGTCTCATTACTTTACAGTCCCAATCGGATTATCAACCTATCGCAATGGCTCGTACCAAGCAAACCGCCCGCAAATCTACCGGAGGAAAGGCCCCAAGAAAGCAATTGGCCACCAAAGCTGCCCGCAAGTCGGCCCCAGCTGCCGGAGGAGTCAAGAAGCCACATCGTTACCGTCCAGGAACCGTTGCTCTTCGTGAGATCAGACGTTACCAAAAGTCGACTGAGCTCCTCATCCGCAAGTTGCCATTCCAGCGACTTGTCCGTGAAATCGCCCAGGACTTCAAGACTGACCTCCGCTTCCAATCCTCCGCCGTCATGGCTCTTCAAGAATCTGCCGAGGCTTACCTTGTCGGACTCTTCGAGGACACCAACTTGTGCGCCATCCACGCTAAGCGAGTCACCATCATGCCAAAGGATATCCAGCTTGCCAGACGTATCCGAGGAGAGCGCGCTTAAGTACCTTTTTGGTAACTGAGCAAGCTTGATCTCAACCCTTAACCGAACCCAACGGCCCTCTTTAGGGCCACAAATTTCAAAATCCATTCTATTGATTGTTAAATAAAGGTTTAATTTTAATCAATTATTCCACTCAATTACAGTTAAGTGACGAAATCTCTGCAAAGCTTTGGTTTCCGTCAAGTAGTGCGAGCCAAAAAGGCAAAAATGTTACATTACGAAGCGAAGGCAAGGTGTAATGTGGGGGAAAGAAATCATTGAGTCGTACAAAATCTAGAATATCCGGCATCCGGAGCTGGGAATGGGGATAGTCGAGTCATTCCTTTTCGGTCATTTTTCAACACGCAACCGATATTTCATCCGCTTTTTTGCATCCTAGTTCGAGAATGGGAAACGCTTCTAGTGCAGTGACTGCTGGTATAAAAAACCAAGTCAATGCATCAAATAATGCTATCAACAAACTGGCTGATATGAGTGGTCGTGGTTTCCTTGCAGATTTGGCTATGGAAGCAGTCAAAAGTGGAAATCATGAAGAGTTGAACAGACAGATACTTGAGGTGGGTTCCCAATAGTTCTCTCTGAAAACATAGAGTTCTAGAAAGTGCAACCAATGCTTTATAACAGTGGACAGGGAGAGATGATTCCTCTATCAGATATCATTGCTCAAAGACATAAAGAGCGTACAGGAAACACATTTGCTGTGACGAATCCGTCGACAGAATGCCGATTTATTTGTTGGAAATTGAATTCTCGTGGCGCTGTTGGAGAGACTCTTTTGCATACTTGTTTCTTAGCAGGACTTCCTGATCATATGAAATTACTTGCTGAACGGCTGATTGCTATTTTCCCGAAAATAATTAACGATTTCTATTTGAGTGATGAATATTATGGAGAGACTGTACTTCATATGGGAATAGTGTCAGAGAACGCCGAGTTTGTAAGATACTTATTAAAGAATGGAGCGGATGTAAATGCAAGATGTTCTGGAAACTTTTTTACTTGTGATGATCAGAAAGGATCAAGAACTGATAATTTAGAAGTTGAACATGCAATTATCAGTAAGCATACCAAATATCCTGGGTAAGTCCTAATTCCCATAATTTTGCCCAGATGTTTCATTTCACTTTTTAGTCATCTTTATTGGGGTGAATATCCACTTTCTTTTGCTGCATGCCTTAGTCAACCGGAATGTATTCGAATGTTAGTGGCTCACGGAGCCGATGTGAATGCTGCTGACACAAATGGAAATACTATTCTTCATATCTGTACTATTCATGAGAATTGGGTGAGTATTTGGTTTGATATTACGAACACTCTGTGCTCTCAGGAAATGTTCAAAATGGCGTTGACACTGGGAGCAGACCTTCATATTCAGAATCGTCAGAATCTAACTCCCTTAACATTAGCTGCCTTTTTAGCAAAGAAAGAGGTTAGCTACTCTACCTTCGTTGTCGTTATGTGGTAAACTTCAGATGATGCAAAAAATAGTCGAAGAGGAGAGAACTGTCAACTGGACTTATGGTAGAACACAGTCAGCTGCTTATCCACTAGAACACGTGGATTCCATTGAACCAACCAGTGGGAGTATTAACCAAAAATCAGTGTTGACTATAGCTGTTTATGGTGAAAAGGCTGAACATTTATCTCTGCTCCCACATCTTCTTGAACAGTTGGTTCATCATAAATGGATTGCCTATGGAAGAAAAACGTACGGAAACAGTAAGAAGAGTTAAATCTAAACCTAGAATTTTCAGTTTATTTGCTCAACTGTTCATGTTTTGTATCTACTTCATCTGCGTAACTTCTTGCTTTCTTCTCCGACCAAGCCCTTTTGAAAGGAAGCAGCATATTGCAAATGATTTGATTTGTTTCTATGATTTTAAAACTAGAAGTTTCAACGAATCAGCTGTATCTACAATTGTAAGTATGATGATATATTTCTAGAAAGACCAGGATTCAAACTGATTCAGATCTACCACCTTCTTCATTTAATTTGCGTTTCTGGAGCAACTCTTTATCTAGTTCAAGCACTTCTCCATATCAAAAACGTTGGATACCATTTATATGTTCTTGGACTATCAGGATTCCCAGCCAAAGCCATATTTTTATTTTCTTGTATTCTAATGATCCTCACATTCTTCCTAAGAATTTTCTGTTTGGATGAAGCAGAAGATATAGTTTGGATTGTGATTGTTCTACTAACATCTCTCAAATTTCTGTTCTTCTGCAGGTAAGAACGTTTCTTTCGAAAACGTTCAAAGAGCAATATTCAGAGGATTCAAGTCAGTTGGACCATTCGTTTTGATGCTTTACAAAATAATCATTAGAGATTTGATGAGGTTTTTTCTGATCTACTTGGTCATCGTTGTTGGTTTCTCGCAAGCATTCTACGTGATTTTTCTGGGATACAAACGGAATGATTCGGGAAACCATGAGCCAAGTATTATGAGCAATGGCGCAGAGAGTTATGTCAGAATGTTCATCATGTCTCTCACTGAGTTTACGGTATTTTTTGAGCAACTGGAGGAGTGTGAACATACGGTTATTGGAAAAGTGAGATCTCTTCTTTTCAGAAAATTTTTTAAATGCCATTGTTACCAGATCACATTTGTTGTTTATATGCTTCTTGTTACTCTTCTCCTCATCAACATGCTTATTGCCATGATGACTAACACCTACACCGAAGTTTCTGGAAATTCACTGGAATGGCTTCGTCAATGGTCTGCAATCATTTTAATGATGGAGCAGAGCTTTGACCCAGCGACACGGTTACGGTATCAGCGAAGGTACGGTATCAGATTCGATGGTGGAGAGAAACTGGTTTTGTTGCTGAAAGATAAGATGACTGTGAGGAAAACGTTTTTTGAAACCATAAGATTTTGATTTATTCAGGAAAACGAATTTGAGTGTCAGAGAAAGAAAATGCACGAGGATCGGCGCAAATTTCGAGAAGAACTTCGAACGAATCAGAGAAGGAGACCGGCCTTCATATGTAAACAAGGAGCAAACTATTTCAAATCGAAGCATCGACATTCTAAATTAGCTGTTCCGACATGATCTCCCTTTGCTCTCTTTTTATTATTCTCACACTTTCCTGAAACTTCGTTTTTTGCACCTCGTTTAGAATGACTAACAGTGGGAGAATGTTATCTTATCGAAATAGTTTGATGCAACGTTGACACAAAAGTTTTCACTTTAATTTCGGTCTTTTCAAACAATTTCTTCCTCTTTTCTCTATTCAATTTTGTCTTTCTTTTTTTTAATGACATGAACAATACCGTAAAACCTGTATTAGAAGGGTCCCTTTAATAAAAGGGCCCCTTTCAAAATGTTTTGTTTGAAGTTTAAAATTTCGTACGTTTTTCGTAAAAAAATTTTCCGGAAATTCCACGAATTCACAGAAACACTATTTTTTTGCTTCAAAAAACTTGTTCATTTTCTGGGAAATTGATATGAATTTCGATTTAGAACTCACTGTTTATTAATGCAAAATTTCGGGAAGAAACTGGCCTGGAAAAGAGAAGGACCCATCTAATTGAAGGGCCCGTCGGAGGTTTCAAGGAACAGTAGAAGGGGCGGCCCTTCTAATACAGGTCTTACGGTAACTTCCGTTCTAGAAATGAGTAGTTTACGTTATCGAAGTTCGATCAGAAGACCACAATTAGATGGTTATACCTATGAAAGAAGTCGATCAGCATCGGTAAGAAATATTCTGAGAACCCATGAGAATCGAAAACTTTTCAGGCAATCCCTCAAGATATTCATGTAACTTTTTACAACAATAGTTATCAAAGGGCAAAAACCTTGTATTTAAATAAATATAATGCAATGGAGAAGATCATTGAAGCAGCTCACGAACTGTTCCCATCTGATAGGATTTATCGATTTTTTTCTGGTTAGCTGAATTTCAGAACATTACTAACCTGTGAATGAAACTATGCAGATCGAACGCTTGGAGCCAGAAATGAACTCACTGACTCTTATCAAGTGATGGATTCTATTCAGAACCCACATCACATCCTTCCTCAATTGTTTATCCGGTTAGAAGGTAGATACTATAACGGATACTAACCCTAACTACTTGGTTAATATTTTCAGAAACATCACGTCGTGCAAGTATTCATAACAATCAATATGAAGTGATACCAATTATTCGAACGCCTTCTCAAGTTTCTCATCGACATTCCGTTCGATTCGACGATAGATCCCGTGCTCACAGCTCAGCCAGTAGCCACGCAAACTTCCACATTTACTGCTGCCATTGTCATTTTCCGATTCATGGAATCCGTTATCATTGTCTTGAATGTCCGGACTACGATATTTGTGAAAACTGCGAGAAAGATCTGGTTCATTTTGAACATGCTCTGATTCGTATTGTCAGTCCAAGATACACTAGAATTCCAGATTATGTCATTTCCAATGCTCCCAGTTATGTTTTTCCAGAGGATCGATATTATGTGGAAAGAGCTATTTAGTCTTTTTTAAAAACTCCATTTTTACAAATTATTGCATTAATTGTTCTTTATTATCTTAATTATATTTTGTTGTTTTTACATAAGACTTCAATTTTTGTTTTAATGAATAATTGATCACTCTTAATTTTGTATGAATATACCGTAAACCATTTCATACGTAGAAGGCTACCCTATAAAAAATGTTTATTATAACATCAAAAACATTTTATTAGTTGACTACTTTTTTATATCTATCACAAGAACCGAGATATATGGGCTCAATGTGCAAGTGTTGGGTGGCCTTTTATTAGAGTGTTAAAAAATTTTTCAGCGTAATCAGCAAGAAAAAAAGTGTTTTTTCCAAACTGTGACATGAAAATTCCAGTCCCTTCAACATGACATAAATTTGATATTTGTTCAACATTTTAAGTAGAGAAGAAGGAGTCAAAAACGGGCGGCCCCCTATTGCATTCCTCCTCCACATATTCTCTCCAAAAACTGATAAGATTGTCCCCAAGGCACGACAAAAGCGGGAAGAAGGTTCTCTTATCAATTTTTTGGCAGAGCAAGAAAGAAAGAAATTGCGCCTATTTGAGTTGATTGTGTGTATGTGCATGTTTGTGTGGTGCAGCCTTGTCGTTTACTACACTATTTCCAGCAATTTTATTGACTGTTTCTAGTAGAATTTCCCCGGCAAAAATCATCAGTGTACAATTTTCTCGTTTCATGGTTTTCGTTCTGACATAACTTTTGTGGTTACACCTTATTCCGATTCTTGCTTTCTTCTTCCTCTTTTTTGATTCTATCAACTTTCAGAATGTTAGACCTAGAAGTGGACTTGAACACAGCACTTGTAGCAGTCAAACAGAAATGTGTGGACTTGGACGAGAAGATTCGAAGAGAGAATGAAGTAAGTGTTTCTCTATCCCATCCAAGACTGTCATACAAAGGCCGCGGCCGGCCGCCACCCTGGCCACTGGTAGTTTGCCGTGGACCCAGCAGTTTCCCAGCCAAATCCTACTTATCACAGAAGAACCCTAACTAAAAAGATTCGGTCTGCTTTCGAAATTTCGTTCAAAAAAATTTCAGAGACATGAAAACCGCGGTCGTGGATACTTGGGAGTTCGAAGATACATCTATGCATTGACGACCAAAAACAGCGAGGTTTGTTTTTTTTTCTAAAAAACTTTTTTCTTTGTCAACTGTTGATGAGTTTTGCAACCTTCCCACTCGATTTGACTCATTTCTAATCCCTTCTCCAGTTCAATTACTCATCAAAGTTTTTCATGGCAAATGCCACATTGCGCGTAGTAAAATATCAATTTTCGGTCGAATCACTGATAACTGCTCCCTCCCTTCTTCTATTGTTGGAAACGCCTGAGGAGGTGTCATAAAACGGAAGGAAGCAGTGGGGAGGATGACGTTGCAGGATTACAAATGTACTAAAAATTATTTCAGAATAATCTTCAACGTCGTGGGAGATCGCTGACAAGAGTGTACGTTGAGCAGAAGTTTTACAGATCGGTTAGTATGTTTTTGAATGTTGATCGGGAAATCGTTATCAGTTTTTCCAATTGATACCGAGGTGTTCGAATTCTATACAAATTGGTATCTAGAGCTAAAAATACCAAAGTTCATTCAGAAGTCTGTTCCATCGCCTGACCAAGTTCAACGCCTTGAAGACTGTACTCAGGACTTTGGACCAAACAATGAGGAGCGTCTGGAGTACGTTGAAACTATCGATGCTCCACTGAATGAGCTGATCAAAGAAGACCAGTCCCATCATAAAATGGTATCACAACGTCTTCCAAAAGGACAAGGAGAATGGGATCATGAACTGGCAGTTTATGAAGAAGACGGGGTCAGTGGCCAATTGGAAGATAGAACATTGACATTGAGAGCAGGAGATCATCCATTCGGAATGAATCAGTTCAATGAAGTGGCTCAAGACGTTAGCTCTAGAATTGCAAAGTTTTTCTCTGAGAAAGAGGAGAACCATATTCGAGCTCGTGAACTATCTCTTTCCGTTCATCCAGTATATCATCAGAGTAATGGCGATGCATACACTTCATTTGGAATGTCTCGTTCTAAATCCATGGGATCCGTGGCCCATGAAGCACACCAGAAATCTCATGCGTCGGAAACTCATGTAACTACGTCATCAACGTATCATGCATCAAGACCACGCCTGGATCAGGTATCCACTACTACCAAGTCATTGAGCAACTTGTACAATGTTGATTCTCGTCATGACTATGAATCGCGCTACGGTCATTATGTTTCTGGATACGGTCACTATGGAAATCCACTACCTCCACCAAAGAATCACGAAGTGATGCCAAAGATGTCAGTGAAAAAAGAGGAGCATATTTATGCACCACCATTGCCCAGAACTCATGAACACACAACTACTAATGTGGAGAATTTCGCAAGTCACTATGAGAGAAAATACGATTTCAAGTTTGTTTATGCCCCTTTAAATTTCCGAATTGTTTTTTGAAGATCAACATTCCCACCAGGAGTCGAGATGCCAGAAGGATATCACGACTATTATGATCCTAGCAAGTTCATGTTCCTTGATCCAAAAGGGTACTATCAGGTTAGATCGCAAATAAGTGTCCTCATTCAAATTTAATTTTCAGGGCAACATCACTCGTCCTCTCCATTACTCTTACTCTCGCGACTATCTTGAGAAGTATTCCGACTACGGTTCACGTCGTCAATCTCCAGTTCCACCTGTCAAAACACCTGAACCTGAATACATTGTTCTTTCGAAAACCGAAGATCTTCCAAAGCACGATACCCATTTGACTTTTGTATTCCCAGATTACTACGACAATGCCACCAGAATCATTCTGAATCGTACTGAGGATCTTGCGCTACACGACTTTATTCCTACCAAACATGCCGACTACTATGACAACTCCGCCCGGATTGTTCTGACATACACCAGAGACGTCCCACATTGCCAGATTGTGATTGAAGAATATCCAGCCTACCGTCCATATGAAACCCAAGAGTTGGTTGAGACTTTCGATGACGAAGAACCAGAGTATGAAGAAATTTATGAGCCAGTCCTTATCGAGCTTCATTACAACAGGGACCCTGATCACTACGTTTTTTGTCCAACTATTCCCTATTCTCCACCTCCACCACCACCACAACCAGTCGTTGAGGAAATCCACGTGGCAAATCCAGTTCAGGTCATCGAAGAGCCCCCAGTACCTGCCGAACGTCATTATGATGAGATCTACATTGGAAGAGAAGCATTGGATGTTTCAGTATCTCCAACATTCAATAAAAGTGATGATCAAAAGCATTTGGGACTGGAAAAGAGTGTTCATGATCGTGTGAGAGAAATGGAAGAATCGTTGAGAAACGTGGATAGACTTAGACTTTTGGAAGAAGAAAAGAGAAGGCAATATGAAATTAGACAGGAGGAAATCAGAGCAGCAAGATTGATTGAAGAGCAACATGCGTACAATGCATACGAGGAAGTAGAAGAAAGTGAGTTTAGCAGTTTATTGTAGGTGAAATGTGCAGTAGTATGATAATATCAACTAACCTCATAGTATCATCAACTTCTTCGTCACCTTGTAAAATCAAGTGTGAAAAACGTAAGAAGCCGAATCGTGAGTGTCCAGAATTTTAGATGGGTAGCTAGTTAGCCTAGATAGAACAAATTAGAAAGGCGGGCTGTAGACCTGTATTATTCTTCAACTCATAAAAACTATATTTTCAGGCAAGAATACTCCAGCTCCTCTTCCACAACCAGTTCACGTTCCTGATGTATTCGTCATTCCTGAGAAGCCAAAACGAACATGGCAGCCACCACCAAAACCAGAACTAGAACTTGATGAACACATTGACAAGCCTCTTGGTCCAGTAATCTTCCATGAGCTGATTTATCAACAAGGAATTCTTCGTCAAAAGTTCCAAGAAGAGCATCGTCAGAATAAGGCTCGGCCAGTGAGCCATCCAGTGTCTCGTGCTAATTCTCGTCCAACAACTCCTGGTTTGGAGCCAAAGTCTATTGATTTCCCACGTCTTGATAATGCTACTAGTCCCAGAGATCACAGCGATTCTGCAGGAAACGTGGATTATGTTCAGAAGCATATTCAACAGTACAATGCGTATGGTGGTCAGTGTTAAGGTCATTTCTGAAAAGTTCTTGAATATCGAAATTACAGATTCCATTACTCAAGATTCTCAACTGGAGAATCGATCGCATGTGCATACTGTCAATGCTGAAACACATAATCATCCTCAAAATCATTTCAATCATTCGGATAGCCATGCTCATTCCCTCTCCGAGCAAATTCATCATTCGCATTCACAAACTCATGTGTCTCAAATCAACCATGTCCATTCTGATTCTCACGTATACGATCATGTTCATAGAGCTCAGGAGCATCGGGGTAGTGTTGTATATGATGAGCCACACGGTCAAGCAGTCTATGATATTCCACATGATCAAGGTTCAAAATATCAATTTTTCAAAACTCAAACTGACACTGAAATTATAGAGCATCACTACGAGGAAGTTCATAATGGACATCACGAAACCCATATCCATCACCATCATCACCACCATCATCATCTGAATGAGCAAGAGCTACAGTATGAAGTTGCTCGAACAAATAAAGCAATCCGTCAGATGAGCAAGACGAACAAATGGGAAGAGCATGAGGAGAAAAGACCACATATTGAGGCTCACAAGAATGAAGGATCGAGAGTAAGCTCGTCTTCTCAAGTTAGCACGACTACAACAGGATCAACCGTTCTTCATCATTCTAACTCTCTGAATCGTCAAAATATTCCTCCTCCATTGAAGATTGATAACGAAAATTCCGAGTCTTATCATGGTTTGTTTCACATCTATTCAACTTCTGTATAAGCTAAACTCTTTTAGAACAACATCATTACGTTCACTTCGACAATGAAAACTCTGAAAATGTTGCTCTCCACAGCTCGAAATCTGTAACCTCTTTGGATTACCAACCGGTGAATGTTGGTCATGTTAAAAGCTTGACCAAACTTTTCAAGTAATAACATCAATTCCAATTACCAATATTAGATAATTATCTTTCAGCAAACCGGATGAGAAGCCAATCACAACTGAACAAGTTATCTATAGAACCCGTGCTGCTCCTCCAGGCCATCATTTCCAGCAAGGTATGAAGTCAAACACTATAACTTTCAATTATTGTTCTTTTTTAGAGATTAAGCCCCGTCCACGATCACTTCCACCAGTCCCAATGGATGAGATCGAACTGCATGAGCATGGAGAACGAGATCATTTGTCACGTCATCAGCATGAAATTCATGACCATCATCATACAGAGCATCATGGAAACTCTTATTCCATTGGTGGTGGAGTGGCACTACATGTCAATGAGAAAACTGTAAAGTGTAAGTCTGAAAAGCTCAGAAATTCAGAATCACATTGTTATTCCAGCACCTACCAGCCCTCAGAACATCTTCCACAACTCTCATTATCATCATCAAACCATGAACGAAGAGCCCACAATCCGTGTTCGTCGTGTCTACAAAGCTCTCGAAGACACCTCAATGCTCTCGCCAATTTCTCTTCAAAGTGATGAACCGATGTATGATATTCCAACTGATGGATTCCATTGATTTCCCCTTTTCTGATCCCAAATACAAGTATCCTTTCATCTAGTTCCTATTTTTCTAATAATAAATGAACATATTATTATTTCCTACAATTCCACCCAATTTCTCACTATCTGGCAACCAAATAAAACTTCCCTATGACACCCAAGGGGATGATTCTTGAATCATCCGATTCCACAGACTTTGCTTTTCATGTCGGTGCGAGTTTTGAAATGAAAAATATATCGAAAATTGAGAAAGCTATACAATTTCATATTTTTGAAATTCAGAATTCTTAAGAAGAAGAGATCGTTGACCATGATCACCAAAAATAGGACCAGGACTATTCAACAGAATACAATTGTTCTCCTTTTTTTCATCTCTTTTTTTCAATATCCATGCTATCCACCATGAGAGAAATGTTTATATAAATACATTGTTAGTGTCATACTCTCTGCGCCTTTCTTTCTGTGTTTTTTCTCTACGTCTCTTCATCCCAAGTACTATTTTTCTACCTCTAACTCTTCCGGGGCCCCGTCAACAACGGCCGCCTTGCCCCGCAACGCCCGGCGCTCTTTCTTTCGTTTCCTTCTTCTATCCGTCTCTTTCTCTAAATCTCTCCAGCTTCTTCTTCTTCTTCTACTCCTATACCCAACTTTTGCGTCGCATCCCTCCGAACAGAAACAGAACAGAAACATACGCGTGTGCGCCTCTTCTTCTCACCCGTGCCTGAAAATAAGAGGATGCGGGGGGCTTCTCTCTGTTTCTTTTCTCTGTCACCCTCCTGATTTGTTTTCTATCTCACTTCATTTTTGGGGTCTTTCTCTCCCTCTCTCTTAGTTCCTCTGCGAGGGAGGAGAGAGAGAGACTTGATGAATTGAGTGCATTCTTCTTCTTTTTCTCTCTTTCTCCATATCTTCTTCATTACGAAAAGGGCATAATCCTTTGGAGCTTCTTCTTCTTTTTCTGCTTCTTCTTCTTTGGACATGGTGGTCCGTCAAAATGATTCATGATAAGTTAGGATCTGTTAGACAGTTGGGGTCTCCGATCTCTGGTTTTCCTGACAGACGTTTGCAAACAAGGAATCTAGAATCGAACAAAAAAATGAGGTTTCCAAGGGATTATCATAACATTCTTTTTGTCATTTAACTTTTTTAATTCTGATCTAGATAATGACACATACCGCAAAACCTGTATTAGAAGGGCCGGCCCTTCTATTTTTCCAAGGTACCTCCGGGGGGCCCTTCTATTACAGGGGCCCTTCTATTTTTCCGGCTATTTTTTCAGACATTTTCAATTGAAAAATTCGACGAGTTTATATTCAAAGTTCATGAAAATCTGTCAATTTCATCAAACATTTAGCAAGCTTTTCACTCTTTCAACAAATTTCTATAAAATTGTTGGAAACGTACGGAAATTGTTATTTCAAAACACATTTTGAAGGGGGCCCTTCTATTTTTCCAAGCCCCTCACGGAGGGCCCTTCTATTAAATCTTTCTAATACAGGTTTTACGGTAATATCCTTTAAATCCTTTTCCCATATTGCAATTTTCACAAAAAATCTTTCGTTTGGAATCCGCAAATTTAATTTCCTGTTCCCGTACACCTTTGGCTATTGGTTCAGATTCTTAATTGCTCAAGATGTAGAGCTCACTGCTTCTCATAAGGGAGTCTCAAGAAACTGAACTGAACGAATTTCAAGATTTTTTAGTTTCACAGCTTTTCAAATGTTCCTCTTGATTCTCCAGAACGTTCCCACCCTTTGCTTCCATTTTGAGGTCAATGACCTGTCAAGTTTGTTGAACGTTTTCTCGTTTGAAACTCATTGAACCGCCAAAAATTGAACAAAGTTGTGTTGCGTCAACACCCAAAAAACCACCAGCAGCACCAACCATTCTTTCATTCCTTCCTCGGTTTTTTTGCCCGCTTCTCAAACAAATTTCTTCCAAGGGTCCTTCCTCTACCCACATCAGAATATATTGTAAATATTTTTGTTGTTTTGTATTCCATCAGTTGATTTTCAAATTCTCTTGAGAGAGAAGGAGAAGGGGCTCCCCGAAAAAAATGTTTTTTTTTTCGATTTCATCTATAAATGATGAAGCTTTAAAACCACGAGAAGAGGAAGAGAAGTGGGACCAAGAAAAGGAAGATAAACAAACAAAGAAGAATGCCAGAACTTTTTTGTTGGTTTGCAGAGCAAAAAAAACCAACGAGAAAGATTTATTTGGTGACTGATTTATGAGCTTGACGGCGGCACCCCTCTTCCATTCTCGGGGGGATTTGCAAGACGAAAAAAATGAGGAAAAAAGCGAAAAGTTCGAGGAAGTGTGAAAAGGGGAGGTCTTCTTATAATGTCCCACTTTTTTAAAGGGCAAAAAATAACAGTAGTATAGTTGCTAGGTTGATTAATTCAGTTAGACTTCTGGTTCTTTAAAACTGTCACAAGTAGTCCTCATCAATCGGGTTACGGTAATTATGCAGTAGTTTCAGTAGCGATACATCATCATTTCTGTCAAGTTTGAAAATTTCTGGTTCTAGTTTTGCATTGTATAATTTCAGTCAGTTAGGCTTAAACAAGCTGAAATCCAAACACCACCCATGTTCGTAGAAAAACAACAGGAAATGCAAAAATGTTTGTTTTTTCTTTTTCTTCTTCTTCTTCTTCTTCTTCTTTTATTCTTTTTCTTTTTTTATGTTTCCTGTGACACTCTCGAAAAATCGTTTCCACATGGCAATTAGGCCGTCACATTGAACCCCAAACACAATTGTCTCTTCACTTCTCTAACCAATCTCTCAAAATCCCATACTATTTCCCTCTACCAATTTTTCGGTTTTAATCTCCGATCCGTGTCTCGCTTTTCTTTTCGAGAGGAATACGCATCAGATTTCGGATTTTCTTAAAGATATTCACAGGTAAATATTGGGAATTGATGAATATAGGCCGAGATTCGAATTCCAATGAAATACGATCCTGCAAAAGATCTGAAATCCTGATAAAACATTTTTTCCCTCATTCATTACATCCACTCCCATAACATGCATTTTTCAATGAGCTCCGCGGGAGAAAAAATGCTCGAAAAGGAGAGAAATGTTTACTTGTGCTCACTCGCTTTCTCCCTATTTGCACATAATCTTATTACGGAACAAAGACGGAAGGCAATAAGAGAAATCGATCTTTTTAGACTCTTTTTTTAGAAAGTTGGGTTTAGGCTTACTGCTTTTTATATGCTCTTTGAACGATCCGGCATCTTCAGTAATCCTCTGATTTTTTCGAAAGTGGTAATTTTATCTTCCCAAGAATTCTTTCTTTCTCGTCCCCGGAAAAATCTTGTGACAGCACAACGACTCCGTTCAAATTTCCATCTTCTCCTCAAATTGCGTTCGTCCCGTTGTTGTCGTCGTCAAACAAACCAAACAGAGAAAAAAACCAAAACGACGAGTCTCAAAAAAATGAAACCGGAAACTCTGCTCACTCTAAGTTTCTTCTTCTTCTTCTTTCCTCAAAAGAACGCCCTTTTTAACTAGTACGATTTCTTTCTACTGGATGTATCCAGAAAACTGATACTTCTTCCCCTCCTTCTTTTTTTGTGGTTTTCAATGTTTTATAGCCAAACAAACATATATTTTATTGAATTTTCCCTCTGCATTGCTCTTTTTTCTATTTGCTTTGATTGTGCTTCGAAAGAGAGAGTTGAACTATATTTTTCCTTCCAGCCCTCCATGCCAGATTTGGAAATCAACGGTGTTGTTGAAATGGAGAATGGCGTTGGAAGATCAGACAGTTTGAAAGCCGAGGAGGCCAATGCTCTCCGTGAATGGGATCCAAAACATCTTCTCAAAGCTCTCTACGAAATATCGTATGAGCCAAGAGTAGAGACTAAACGGAACCGTTTCATAACCATGGAAGGTCATGTTGAGGTGAGATGATTCAGATATTATTTTTGTCCCGCTCTTGCGAGGGGACTCCAAAAATTGGTAATAATACTCAGAATTCGCTCCTTTGCACGGAAATCTTTAGTAAAAGGCGAAAGATTTTCACGGTCAAATGCAGAGGAACCAGAGTTATCAAGGTGATGAATCCGCTGAGGTCATGTTCGCCATGTACGGACATCTCCCGGGTTCCGCGCGTCTCTATGTTTTGCGTGCCGTGGGCAGAGTCAGGGCGTTTCTAGAGGAAGCATACTGGAGATTAGCGTGAAAAAATTTAGAGATTGAAAAATTAAAAAAATGTCTACAGGTCCCAGCTGACGAAGTGACAAAAGCAGACGGTTTGGACAACGAAGGATGGATGAAACAGTACATAAGAATGAAGGAAGGACGGCTTCAGATCTTTGCTACTCACTACGCCGGTGAAGCTCCAGCTCAGGAACTGATCCTTTCGGGAGCAGATGTAGATGCAAATAAGGATGAGAGAACTTTGACGATTCACGGAGGAAGGGAACATGTCAAATACTACTGCAGGTTTGATAAAACGGACAAGATTTGTTTGAATGGATGTTTTCAGAGTTCCATCAGCAGTGTTTGACAAATGGCGACAATCCTTCCTTTCCCACTGTGCTTCTTCTCTCATTGACGCCTACGTCAAGCCGATTCCACGTGCCTTTCAACACTTGACCGAAAGAGTTCTGATCCTTGAGTTGGGATCTTGTTCCATTAGAGCTGGAGTTCTTACAACTGAACCATCGCTTCCACAGTCTTTCTTCCCCGCAATTGCAGTACGTACTGACGACGGAAAGATATTCGTTGGAGAGGATGCCTATAAACCTGAAATTCGGCACAATGGAGACTTTGTCCGACCGATTTCAGCTACTGATCCATCAGTGGAGAGATACTCAATTGAAAAAGAAGTGTTGAAGGCTGTAATCGAGAAGATAACAAAGGAATTGAAAGTGGAACCATGGAAATATAAAGTTCTTCTTTCAATTCCACAAAATATTCCAACTGTTTTGATTGGAGAACTTCTTCAGATTTGTTTGGAAGACGTCAAATTTCAGGTAATCTTATTGGAAAAATACTTTTAAAACCTAGATAATAATAATTATTTTTCAGGGAGCCGCAATCACTCGACAACCGTCATTGATCCTTTATGCTTATGATGTCACCACAGGAGTTGTCGTTGATATCGGAGAACGAGTCAATATTGTTCCGGTAATTGACGGATATGTTGTAGAATCAGCTATTTGTTCGATTCCCTATGGATCACAACAAATGGGAGACTCATTGAGAAGCTCATTGAGTGCTCATAACAAAGGATTGTATGCTTTCCAAAGCCCAGTAGAAAAATTGATCCTTAGATTTGCATTGGAACAGGTTAGAAAAGATTTCCGTTTTCCCGTGATAATTCAATATGATTTCAGACAACATATATCCCAGAAGACTATCAGAAAGAAGAAAAGTCTGAGAACAAAGAAGCACGAATCTCACTAGATGCATTCACTCCGGTTCTAGGAATGCAGACAAGATTCGACATCGATAACTCCAGATTTTTGTGCACTGAAGGTCTTTTCAAGCCAAAGAAATGGGGACTGGACACAAAAGGACTTCATCAGTTGATCCATGAAGCAATCCTTCAGAGTCCCATTGACAGTCGCCGAACTTTGTACAGGTAGAATACGAAATGTTCGCATTGAAACTAATTATTTGTTTCTAGAAATATATATTTGGCCGGTGGTGCTTCACTGATGCCTGGATTAGCTGAAAAGTTAGAGCACGAGCTCTCCACAGTTGTTCCAAACACAATTCACACCCAGGTTAACATCAGTCCGTGGCGATACAACGCAGCTTATCTTGGAGCACAGGTCTGGAATAAAGAATCCTACGCCAATATTTCTCTACTGCTTTTCAGATCGTCGCATCAGCATCCACATTTGAAGATTCCTGTGTCACTCTACAACAGCTACCAAAGTTCCTTGCACAACTCCAGTCATCGTCTTTCTAATGTTCGCTCACATAAATACAATCGATTTCAATAAACTCTTATGATTTCAATGACCAACTCGAAAATTCCGCTTGCTAGAGGCCCTTTTCTCTGTTTTTCATCAGATTTTTCTTTAGAACTTCGTGTACTGTTAGCTTTTGTACAACTATTAATTTCCTTTTATCTACTATTTTGTCCAAGAGCTCTTTTTTACATATTTTGTGATACCTTTCTCGTAATGTTTCCCCGCAGTTACTTTCGTCAAAATTATGTCAATCAGTTGAGTCGGCTAGCAGTTTTAGCTAGACGTAATTTGCACAATAAAACTTATTTATGACTTTTTCAACTGGATAAACGTAGATTCTTTTCAAAAATACAAATATTCTGAGAACAAAGAGGTTATTTTGAGTGTTTCTCAGCAAAGTCAAACATAACGTTTAAAAAAAGCATAATTTTTTCTGAAAAGTCACTTTACAAGAGACAACATGTTGAATATTGAACAAAATATGTTACTAATAAATTTCACTTAATTTCTTTTTAATTGTTCAAAAAAGAAATAATGGAAAATTTCGTTTTAGAAGCTCAATTCAATGTTCAAAACAACTGACGAAGCGAAGAAAAAAGTTATTTTAAAGGCGCACAGCGTTTCTCCCGCCGCGGGTCTCGCCGCGATTTCGCTTTCGAGGCAGGCAACCCGCTCTATTTTCTGTGGAGAATTTAGGCCCGAGTTCTTTTTTTCTAATTTTTTCACCCAATTTCCGTACTTTTTCAGTATATTTCTGTTTAAATCCTGAAAATGTGAAACCAAGGAAAATCTTTTGGATTTTCATTGCGTTTCATAATGTTTCGGTTAAAAATGTGGCCTAAAATTTTTTCAGGAAATTTATATGTCATATTCTCTTTTTACTGGTGAATCATTTAAAAATTGTAAAATAATAATTTTCAGCATGGGTATCTCGCGCGACTCCTGGCATAAGCGCTACAAGACCGGAGCTACTCGCCCGGTTCCACACAAGAAGAGGAAGTTCGAGCTCGGACGTCCAGCTGCCAACACCAAGGTGAGTTTCGTTAATATTTTCAGTTTAAAAAATTATTTCGAAGTGCATGTATCAATTTCAATTAATTTTTTTCAGATTGGAGCTCATCGCGTTCGTCTCGTTCGCACTCGTGGTGGAAACCTCAAGTACAGAGCTCTCCGTCTTGACAATGGAAACTTCTCCTGGGCCTCTGAGCGTGAGTTAAAACAGTTAACAGAGTGTAAAAAGTATTTTTTGTTTTTAGAGACCACTCGAAAGACCCGTATCGTTGACACCATGTACAACGCTACTAACAACGAGTTGGTCCGTACCAAGACCCTCGTGAAGGGAGCCATCGTCAGCGTTGATGCTGCTCCATTCCGTCAGTGGTATGAGGCTCACTATGCCACTCCATTGGCCAGAAAGAAGAACGCCAAGCTCTCCGAGGAAGACAACGCCATCTTGAACAAGAAGAGATCCAACCACACCTTGAAGAAGTACACCGAGCGCCAAAAGACTGCTGCCGTTGATGCCCTCCTCACCGAGCAATTCAACACTGGACGTCTTCTTGGTGAGTTTACTAGAAAATTGGAAAAAAAATCAAAACTTGATTAATGAGTATATTTTTCATCATTTTCTTTTCAGCTCGCATCTCTTCATCCCCTGGACAAGTCGGACAAGCCAACGGATACATCCTCGAAGGAAAGGAACTCGATTTCTACCTTCGCAAGATTCGTGCCAAGAAGGCCAAGTAAATGTCCTTTTTGTTGTTTCTTGTTTTGTTATATAAAACATAAACAAATTTGTTACTAGTATTATTAGCACATCGAAAGAACCGCTTTTGATAAAAGGAAAATGCTTACTCATGCCAAAGCAACCAGTTCCGAAATACACAGTCGTCTATGAATAAGAAATTGGAAAGTAATGGTGTGAGACGATGCTTCACAATCTGCATAGATAACCTTGAGTGCGAACAAAAGAGTTCGTTTTCGATTAACATAATTCAAATCTTTTTGGACGAAGAAAATACTTTCAGTCGATGAAGTTACAGAGTGGTTTCTCTGAACAGAAAATTGAAAGGTTTATTGAAATGGAGAGTAACTGGGAAGAAAGCAATAGGATTCACCTACTCGTCTTTATAATTAATAGGTGACGTAACACGATTACTCATTCAATTCAAAAAAGTAGAAGCTTTCTCGGAAACCTGTTCTAGAGGGTCAGATTCTCGATGGCAAAGAGGTATGGGAGGCGGTGCCAGGGTGAAGAAGTCAGGGTCAAAAACGATATCGGTATAAAAGGACGGAAGGATGACGCGGAATGCCATCTTTTCTCCTTTGTTTCAAACCAAAATCTCATCGAAGATACCGGTGAAAACTGATGATTAAAAACCTAGTTGAACCGTTTTTCATCTCAAATTTCTTCTAATTTTGTTTCTCTTCTTATTGAGACCGGAACCGAGCAATCCTTCGATTACCCTCTTGTAATCCTTCGAATGACTAGAACTACAGTTTCTTTCATCATTGAAATTCTTACAGATGCTTCTACCCATTTCGATTCTCCTCTCGCTAGTTCCCATAGCTTCTTCTACTTTTGGTGGATGTTGCTCCATGGGACCTCCACCATGTCCTCCACCTCCGCCACCGATGTGTGCTCCTCCACCTCTTCCTTGCCCACCTCCTCCAATCTGTCCACCACAGTTCTGCCCACCACCTCCTCCGTGTCCTCCACCACCTCCACCACCACCACCACCGATGTGCCCACCACCACCACCTCCAATGTACTCTCCATGCCAATCGTATGCTCCAGCTCCAGTCTTCAATCAATACGCTATGCAACCAGCCAACGATTGCTGCTGTCGGTGTGGAAGTCCATGCAGATTCATGGCTAGACATAGAACACACGGATCGAAACTGTTCACCACTGAAGAACAAGAAGAGGATCCAACCTGCAACAGCAAGAAGCTCAGAAGAGTGATGGAAAACGTAAGGATTTGTCCATTTATATCAATACAACTGAATTGTTTCAGAACATGAACCGCGACCCAACCATCTCAAAGAGAGCCATCCAGAAGGCTGCCGAAGAGAAAATGTTTGGAAAATTCAACGTGATCTGCGCCAAGGGAGACTTCTCCTACGTCGCCTATACCGAGACCTACTGTCAGGTGGCTAACGACGACGTCACCTGCTACGCCTTCAGACCGATGTAATTCTCTGAATGTTTGGTGATTCTGAATTCTGACACGGCTTCGGTTTTTTGTTGTCTACACTTGGTTCCCGTCTTTATTTGTGTAGTAATTATTATATACTTCGAGAATGCATTCCGGTTTATGATGTATATATGACCTTCAATTGTCTCCCACCTTATTTCTTCTTTATTTTTCCCCCGTTTTGCTTGATTTGCTACAAAATAAACCGACGATCTCGTTAAAAATTGTTTTGATATAAAAAGACACCGATAGCTAATCACTAGTGATTAGATTTTCATAAACGAACAGACAAGCGGGCGAAATCTAAATGGAGATGTAAAACATAGCTACGATACAGGTATTAGGTTAGAGATTGAATGAAATTACAGACTCTTCGCTCCTCGTGTATTATTCTGGTGGCCGTGGCTGAAGGTCCCACAACGACAACTACCGTAGCCTAAAAATAATTTTATTTTCCGGATTTTTTTCTCGTTTTCACTGCTTTTCGTCTATTAGTTTTCTGTTATTTTCTCAAAAAGGTCGAAAGATAAAGTTTGTTGAAATTATTGTCGAATTAAAAAAAGTGGGATCTGAGAATTTGAAAGGCGTAGCTTTATTTGATCTACGAAAAAGTGCGGCAAAAACATAACATTTCAGAGTTTCGCCTCGTTCGAGCTACTTTCGCAATTAAGTTCGGTTTTTCTATGAAAATCAGATTCTAGAGATACTAGCGATCATTTCCATACCAAGAAATCTAAATTTTGTACAGAAAATCCCACTGAATTCACAGAAATAAGTTTCGTTTACTACTGTAGTGATTTTGAAGCAAGGCCTCGAAAATTGACCGGGAAGCCGCCCGCGAAATTTTCCAGGTCCCACTTTTTTTATTCGACAATACTATGTTCTGGCGGCGATGCACGTTGCGGCTGAAAATTTATTTAAAATCGCACATCATCGGACGAGCCGTGAAAACAGCTACGGATTTCAAATTAATGCATGCGCCTTCAGTATCGTACCTAGCAATTAATTTAATGTTTGCCTTCTTTTCATAATTTTTCGCTTGTTTTTGACAATTTTCGTCTGATTCTCAAAAATATTCAATTTATCTCCTTTATAAAATAGAAAAACATCCGAAAATAGGGCCAAAATAGATTAATTGCTGGGTACGGTATTAAACGCGCATGGATTATTTTAAAACCATAGCTGTTTTCGCTGCTCAACCGACGATGCGGTTTTAAATTAATTTTCAGCCACAACGCGCATCACCGTCAATTGGAGTAATAGTGAAAATTTGACAGAAAACACGCGAAAACCGAGATAACAGTACCTGAAAAGAAACATTTTTCAGGTTAGGGTAGTTGTCGTTGTGGGACTCTCGGCCACGGTTACCTTCATTTTCCATGGTTCCGATTTTTTGCACGAGTATAATATTTATGTATTCAAATATTCCTGCTCCATACTTTTTTAAAAGAGTTGAAGTCATTCTTCCTCTTCTCCTTTTCCCTCTTCCCCCAAAATGTTTTAGTACAGTGTGAATTTAAAAAGATGATGTAAAATAAGAAAACCACCATCTTTCTCTCCTTCAAATTGGCTGAAATTACAATGAGATGACCGGCGGTTCGTGCTCTCAATTGTGCAGAGAAATGCTCTATCGATCGTCGCTTTCTTGATGCTCTTTTCTCATCAAAAAGTATTGTTTTGTTTCAATATTCTTCGATTTCTAATTATTTTCTTCTTCATTACTTGCCTCTCATTGGGACTCGAACGAGAAGTCACCGAAGTACAAGCAACGGTGGCGGTTACGGTAGGACAATTGTAGTCCAAAGCAACCTGTAAAGTTTCAGACGACGTTGGCAGTCGAAAGTGATGCAATATGGTGTCCAACGAATCGAGTTGGAAATCAATGTCCTGAAGAAACGTTACTATCATTCTACAAGTGTTGTGGGCATCTTAACAAAGAGTGTTGCTTCACATGAGAGTTTGGGTGAGCCGAAAAATCCAAGCTTCTGAAAGTACTGATATAATTTAAGATTGTCATTATGATCATTGTTCTCCCAATCTGTCTTGTTCTTCCTGCCACCACCTTCATCCTCCGACGTCTTCTATGCCCATCCAAACAGCCCGCGAGAGGTCCATCAACCGCGGATCGTGTCCGCCAACTAGCCGCCGAAGACTCCACCACTTATAGAAGAGATTCAGATGATATGGTTATGCTTTAATTGTGCTGTTATGTGAAGTAAAATGATTTATTATCAAAAATTTATTTTTGGCTCTAAAATCAACAACCCGAAAAGAGATCCTTGATGGGCTTTCGTGGCCTAATTAGATGTTAGCAGTTGGATGATGTATTAACTGGGTTGAATTTCAATGTAAACTTTCTCTTCTTCTTGGGTTGATTGTAGATGTGTTTCCGTACATCCACATTCAGAAGAGCATAAAGTACCCAGTTTCCAGCTGCGTTTATATACGGGAGGCAATTCGAAACTAGACGACAGTAGACCAGTCTGAAAATAATATCGATTGAAAACCAGTAAAGCGCAAATTTAAAACTAACAGAATGCTTTCTCCTCCACTCTCCTCCTCACTTTCTCCGTTGAAAAACTGATCGATTTGATAAATGTAATTAGGCAACATGGTGAATCCCCAGAACGGTGCCCAACACACAAAATGAAATACGGCAATTCTCCAGATGCTTTTCCTCACTTCACTCATATATCTTGGCTCTTTTCCCGATTTCGCCAACGTTGTTGTCTGTTGAGCCCGACGCATCTTGTATTTCGTTTTGACATGACGAACGAGCATTATATAGCAAGCAGTCATTATCGCAAACGGGATGATGAAACCGACGGAGAATGTATACTGGGCAAATGTGTTGAAGACGTCATTGGACATGATTGGAAGACAAACCCAAGTGACATCAGAATCCGGGAATGGAACTGAGAAGTGTTGAAGGTAAAGGTAATGAATGACGGTAGGAACGAGGACTCCAAAGACTGTCCCGAAGGCAAGCGGTACCAATGACATCCAGGCACGGTAGACATGACGAAGTCTGGAATATTGTTGACCTCATAAAGTATCAAATAACTCATATTGACTCATTAGAAAACATTCCGCCCTATTTTATCAATGACATCATCTGACTCATTTCTATTTGCAACCCTCTAGAGGATTAACGTGCTTGGTCTCACCTGGTGCATACAATGATATATCTTTCCAAGCTCATCACAGTCAGCAAGATCACCGAGAATAATTTAGCGAAGATTTCAATCGAGCGGATGATATAGCACGCAGCAGATCCGAAAATCCAGGTACCATGATAGTTGTAGCTAGCAGTCGCGGGAAGTGTCAGAAGGAGGAACATATCGGAACAAGCAAGAGCGAAGATGTAGATTCGAGATCTTTGTGCAACGGTCAGTTGGACAGAAGCACCGCTCCAGAGTCTGGAATAGAAACGATTAAGGTTTTGTTAAAGTTTTAAATTCCTACTTGGCACGGAAGAGCTTGTAGATGATCCAGAGGTTTCCTGGTGTTCCAACAAGGCAGACGACGATGTAGACAACTGTCATAAATCCTTTGGCAAAGGACATATCAACGTCTGGAAGATAGAAACAATTTAGATAACCATAGCTAGTTAGAGTTTTAGAAATCTACTAGGATCCTTAGAAAACCGGACAAACTTCAAATGAGTTTCTGAAGAATTTTTTCTTACTTTCTGGTGTTTTTTTTTCTCTATTACTGCTGTTTTGTCTATGGACCATCGGTCTTGTTTTTGCAAGAATCCGAATGGAACATGAGAAGTGAGTAGGGAGCCACATCTACACTTTTTTGGATTACTTATAGGTACATACTAAAGCTGATCAATCTTTTAATTGTATTGTGATTTGATACTTACACATGTTTCGAGCTCAAAAGTTGATGAATATTAAAGTTATATGATGTTAGGAAATTTTGCAAATAGCTCCAGGAAACAGAAGCGGAAACCATTTTGCCCCCTTTTCCGGTTTCTTTTTAAATTCTTAATTGGATTTCAAAATAGAGTGAAAAAACCCACGTGGCTGTTGATCTTCTTCTGAACTTTCGTTTTCGATTGAAGACGTTGTGGAGAAGTTTGAGGTGGGGAGTCCCTCCATTACAATAGGGATACCCTTAACGAAAAACATCAATGGAGATGATGAACAGAGACAAAACAATATAATGAATGATTCAGGAAAAAAAGGGGGAGCGAGGAGATATTGGGAAGAAAATAAGGAAGATGACAATCTAGACTTTTTACTTGAATTAGAATATCAAAAAGAAGAAAAGTTAATAAAGATGTGCAAAAGAAGAAAAGAGGAATAAAAATGCAAAAATGACGATTTCTCACAATCAGAAAGAACGAAGGGAGAGTTCCATGGAGACTGAAATTATAGTGACGCATCATAATTGGAATAAAAAAATAAGAAAGAAAAAATAATTGAGGGTATAATTGATGCCTCACAATCTGAGAAAAATACAGAACACAGAACCTTTCATGTTCTGTTTTTTGATTCGTTTGAGTATAGGTTCTCTTTCGACACTAATAGGATGAGGGAGGATCTTGCCTAATTTGCATTTTCCTCAGAAAGTACTCCAGATTCCAGATTATCCTTGTGTACCGCCAGTTTGCTGAAAATCGCATTTCAGAAAAACGTGAATTAGGTTGTTGTCTGAAATAAGACTGCACAATGAAGAGACATTTTTGTCAAAAAAGATTTTGTGAGAAACAAATTGCAAAATATACAAGAGCTAGGAGAGGGGATGAGAGAAAAAAGTATGCGGAAGAAAAGCGGTGAAATTCAATTTCCGCTCATATTCAAAAGCCATTGTGCCGGCAACTTTTGGAATATATGGTGGTAGTATTTCTGATCCAGTCTAGTTGTCTGGAATCTGTTATTTTAGTACAACAAAATCGGAACGGCGGTGGCTGTGGTGGAAGATTATTTTCATTTTCAGGATTGAATTTCGTCGATTTTCCAATTGTTTTTCACAAAACAAATGGGAAAATTCAAAATTTTGATAGGGAAACAATTGACTGAAAACGTACTGAAGTCGAGAAAAAAACGCAGAATTTTTTTTCAGGTTACGGTAGTTGTCGTCGTGGGATTTCTCTTCCACAGCTCTGTTTTGGTGTACAAGAATAATAGATCATATTCAAAATCCATTGTATCGACAACTTTTGGAATATATGTCCGTATTTATGCTCTAGTCCAGTCTAGCCTGGGATCCATACACAAAATACAGTTATTGTAGAACTAAAATACAACAAATGCGGTGTGAGTATCCCAACTTTGAAAAGCTACTCATCCTATTGGTTTTTCAACAACAAAAGTGTAAAACCTTGTGGGGAAGAGGAAGCACTTGTTTATTTAAAATGTGAGAACTTTCGAGAATTTTCGGAATCTCTCTTCTGAAAAGACAGTGTCATGCTTGAATATCCCCAAGAGCATTATTGCAACTCAACCTGATGACGTGGGTTTTTGAGAGAAAAAAGACGTGCGTTTTCAGTTCTTCAGAAAATCGGAAGACGTTCTCGCGCAATTATACTATCCTTGATGACAATCATCACCATAAATGATGCGTGATCATCATCTGGAAAATGGGGAGACGGTGGTCATCTGGAAAATGGGGAGACGGTGTGATGCAAATAACGAATGGGGGGAAATTCCAAAAATCTTGCATCTAAAATTCTGCGGTAATGAGAAGTCAAGAAGGGCCCAGCTATGGAAAGCACTTTTCTGGCTTTCGAAGAGTCAGTGAAATCGAATTCGGAGAATCGGAACACCGCAGAATTAAACCTAAAATTTTAAGAAGAGTACCAGACAAATTGTATGCTTCAAAGGCTATTCTAATTATATAGAAGATTAGACAATTTTCAGAGAAAAAAAGAACACAAGAAAACATAACTACACAAAAACTTGTCTAATCCCTCAGTCTGTGATTTTTGATGGATGGTGACGAGGATTCTCCCTCTCTCTCCCTCACTCAACTCAGAAAGTGCAAAATTCGAGAAGCAGAAAAATAAAATACTGTGAGGATTTGAAGTGGAATCCGTTCTGTAAGTGATTCTAGGAAAGAAATTAATAATCTGTTCAGAGCAGACAAGGAAATATATACACGGTATAATGGGTGACTTGATGGCTGAAAAGAAGACGAAACGGACCGAACGCTTATTTCCCACGTGGATTTTTTTGCGGCGGTGTTCGATGTGACAAATAATTAAACGAACATGTGCACACAAACATGCACATTAAAGCACATGGAACACGAAAACAGTGTCCAAGTATTCTCTTTATTTTCAGAGAACCTTTACATTTTAAAAAAGGAAAACATTTGGAATATTGATCTTGAACAGAATGAGTGCATCTTCTGGGAAATTGGAATAAAGAAGAAAGAGGGAGGGTGGTGCTTGCAATAAATCAGAGACGGTGAAGGATTAACTTATGGGCTCTTTTTTAGCATTAAAAATTGGGACAACAGCATCTATCGGGGTTTAAAATTTAATTTTTGTTGATCAGTAGAGAAGGTCAGATCAGTTGGAAATTCTTAAAGGGAGGAAACCATTTCTGGTTCTGGACTAATTTGACAACTGGGTAGATGTTAAGAGAAATAATTTTAGTTTCTTCTAGTTAGAGATTTCAATAATTTTGAATACCTGTCTCTGGTTTATAAGGCTTGGTCAGTAGTAGCGCCCCAATGAACGTGAGATTAAGGATTCTGATTTTTCTTTACTTTGCCTGAGTATAAAACGGACAACGACCAGGGAAAAACGCGCGTTAAAAAATCGCATGTCAAATCCCCGACCAATTAGAAATTATTAACTTTTCTCTGGCCTAAAAGTTAACTGGGGCGCGATTTCTGACCGAGCCTTTTGGAACCCTGTGAAACTGTCCCAAAAGAAATGGTATTTTTTGAACTACGCCTGAGCTGTATCAGTTCTCAATTTCAGAAGGTACCTAATAAAAATCAGTAAAATAATTGTTTTCAAACATAATCCTGATTCACTAGATTTTTCGTAAACATCCTCAAGCTCCTGGGCATTTTATTGCTCCAGATGTCATATCTTTTTACTTATTTTTTTTTCGAAATGGAGCACTTGTCTCGGTGAGGGAGGAGAGGAAAAAGATAAACCCTGGGTTTTTCCTGGGGTTTTTGAGTAGAGACTAATTGTCTCAAAAGTAATTGCTCTCGAAAAACGACGAGATCAAGAAGAATCAAGTGTTCAAACAAATAGTTAGTGTCTCTCAGAAGGCGTTCTGAGCAAAAACAACAATGATTGAACACGGAAGTTTGGAATAAAATTCGATTTATGTGGGGGGGAAAGTGTTGAAGAGTAACAATTGTTTGAAAAATGAACTTGAAAAGAGGAAGAAGTAATGCGAGGAGTTTAGAAAAATTATAGGGTTCGAAGGAAACTTCGTGACTCATGAAATCAGATGTCTAGGGAAAGATTTGAAAGTTATGGGAATAGAAAATGGCTGGTAGATAATAGTCAATTATAGTTTGTGTTGTATTACAGAGGAAATTTCTGAGAAAGATGAAATCTTGAGAATATCCAAGTCACATGGAAACTTCAAAATGATGGGTTCAACTTCAGAAATTGTAGGTTCTCACGAGTTTTCAATAATTCCGGACGTCGTCTGGATGTCTAGAGTTTGGACTTTTTATTCGGAGAAACCGAAAAATGAAAAAAAAAAAAACAAATTTAATTCCGTTTCGAAGATCTCGGAAAGTCAAGAAGGCAAATTTGAAAAAATAGAAGGAGAAGTGTTTCGAAAACAAGTATTAAGTTTTTTTCATTCTCCAGCTAACCAGACAACTCATTGCTCTCGGTGGAACACAAAACACAAATTGCACGAAGACTGCATTTTCAGCAAACTTCGAAAATTTTGTTTTCTAAAAGCGGTAGTGACGTAAAATTTGAGGAAATCCAGTCTTGAACTCGGGAATCCGGGTTTAACTTGGGATGATGAAGCTGTATGGATCAGACCCGTTTGCGTAAGTATTTTCAGTTTTCTCTGTTTTTCGGAGAAAAAAGAAATACCAAAAGATTCCGTTCAGATTCAGATGATGTTAGAAAATTTCAGACAAACAGGTCATTATTTCCAGTCGAAAACTATAATTTTTGCCAAAAAGACAAGACACGCGAGCTTTTTTCTTTAATTTCATGTTTTGGTGAGATGATTACGGTAGTGGCACTTTGTCAGATTATTCATCTGGGGAAACGGATGAAAAAAGAGAAAAAAGATTCGGGGAACTGGGAAAGAAAAAAAAATTGCGTCTGGAGTCAAGTGAATTCGAAATTCTGAAATTTTGAATTTGATGAAATATTTATATGGGAAAAGTGTGAAACAGGGACCTGATGAATAGATGAAAGAGAAAAAAAAATTTGGAAAAACAAAAGACCATCTACCCCAGAAAAGCTTATGGTAATTGTTTCGTTTTATCTTGTCTTTTTTCTTCTGAAAAAAAATAACGGACTACTGTACCGATCCAATTAGGGATAAAGAAACGGAAAAGGCAAAATCGGATGTCGCCATTAGTTCAAGCGATTTTCGGTTTCAATGAACTGGGTCCGATGGGGGAAGCCATAGGAATCATAATGAGAAGCATAGAATGTAATCTTTAATCAATAGGACACATTTTAAATGAACATAATGATAATATAAAAAACAAAAACAAAAATCAGAAACTTAAGAGGATTAATTTGGCATTACGGAATTGAAGGGGGACACCGGCCAAACGTTTTTTTCGTAATTTTTTGCATAAAAATGTTTCCAAAGTTACCCATACCAAGGTTCAAAAATAGTTCCTGAACCACCACCGCTGCAGTTTTCAGACAAAAAATGGTGACAACAACTGGAAATTTAATGTTCTCTAGTCTGAAAACTTGAATATTTTGTGAGCTTGAGTGGCTTTTTTCGGGTGATGAGAAGATAGAAAAAAAAGGTTTGTTAAAGTTTTCTGTAAAAATAATATACGAAAAAAGGGTTCAGTTAATAATAACAATGCACAGTCATTTTCTGTATGTGTCATCAAGAGAACTCCAGGACACATTGGAAAAGTTATTCTGCACATGTTCCCATGGAATAACTTTCGATTAGTTTTTTTTGCAGCATTTAGTCATGCCCCGGAAATGTATTCAAAGGAAAAAAGGACTTGTTAAGAAGGGAACTGCATCCTAACCAAGTTCAAATCAATCATGTACTCTTTTTTCTTCTTCTTCTTCTTCTCTATCTACCTACATTACAAAAAGAAGAGAATCAGAGCGAAACGACTCTGAATGAACCAGGAAACGGGCAATTTTAATTTTTCAAAGTGGATTTTTCTTTCTTGGATTTTCTTGTAGCTTCTTTTTTTTAGAAATTGGATTTAATTTAGGAACAAAGCTCATAGCCCTCGTCATTCGAAAAAAAAGAAGTGCGAAGAATTCCAAATATTTCTAGTTATTTATCCTCTTTTTCTAGAAAAGACACGAAAACATATCATCATTCATTCGAAAAGAAGAACACAAATTACAAGACCGATGATCTATTTAAATTAGGGAGCATTAATTATTCAGGACCACGACCTAATTTTCAGAGAAGAACATTTTATACATGTTTCTGGAAAAAATGGGATATCGGAAAATTTATATTTTCTGGAGTATCCTTTCTATTTGCAGTACTTGAGAAGCGTTTGTTTAAAACATAAAAACATCTGGCTCACCCAAATTGTCAACTTCAAGCTTAATTAACTAGGTTCCTATAAGAGATATAAAAAAAGTGTCAATTAATAAAATATTGGTGATATTATGATAAATAATTTATCAGTCGACAAAATTTTGATATCTTGCACAGGAATAGAGATAGTTGAGCTCAAAGTTGATGACGGGTGGACATCTGTTAGAGAAAATACGGTAATTACAAAAAAGACACCAATTTGTTCAAAAAATGACATTTTCCTCGGGATCTCCGGGTCAATGAGTAACAGTGATGGGACCAAGAAACTTGAAACTTTTAAAGAGAAACATTAATCGAAACATGATATTCAGACTGCCTTTCCGAAAAGGGGACGATGTCCGTTAGGAGGAAAAGAGCCGCCATCTCGTAACCGATGAACTAAATTTAGATGTTTCGAATCAAATTTCCCTGATTTTTAGAAATTGAAATTGATCTATGAAGTCTGGTAGTACCAAGAAAAAAAATAACAAAAAACTATACACTTTCCTCCTTTTAAGAATTGTTTTGTTATTTCTCTCTGGTGTTGACAGGGTATCGGCTAATTGAGAACAACAAAGGAATGCCCGAAAAAAGTTCCAAGTGTTAAAATTCAATGAAGTTGGCTCTCCTGAAATCATTTGTGAGGACTCATCAGAGGGAAAATTGAATTCAATTTCGCGGTAGAGGAGGAGCGAATGAAATTGGAGTAATCGGAAAAAGCAAGTATCCAAAAATGGATATTCTAAAAGTCAAACTATTTTCAGAAGAGAGAAAGAGGGAACCTGAAAATGGAATGTGGGGAATTTGGAATACCGTGAAACCTGTATTAGAAGGGACTCTAGGGGAGCCATTTAATCAGAGGATAAGTGGCCTTTCAATTAGATTTTCATAACAAAGAAAATACCCATAATCCAATCAAAACAAAAAACAAAAAACAATCAAGGGCCCTTCAGTTTCAGGGGTCATTATAATACAGGTTTACGGTATCTGTTTTTTTGTTTCTAGAACTCTAGAAATCAAGAGAAAAGCTAAACTATGTATCTCAAATCCAAACTATATTGAAATTCCATTCCGTGCTTCCTCTTATCTCTTCCTCTTTTTTCCGATCGTATCTCCAAACCGCCCATCTAAAAAACAAACAGTGAAAATCGTCATTCACACTCAGTTCTTAGTTCTTTTTTTCTCTTTTGAAAGGTACGTCAACAGATCGAATGACAACAGACAGTGATCACAAACAGAGGAATAGGCAAGAGGGAAAAAATGGGTTGAAATGGAAGAAATAGGATAAAAGAGAGCATTTATTTATTTCTAATAAAACGGTATTTTTTGTTCGGTGATGGGAGGAGAAAAGAAAAGGAAGAGGAATAGAAAGAAGACAAAAAGTTATGAACGGAATGGTGGCAGGTGATCGTGGGAAATTTGAAAAAAAAAGAGGGAAGAAAGGGAACAGTTCAATTTCTGATTTTTGAATATGATTTTCCAGGTGTCTTTTCATCTAAAAAGAGTTTAAAATGAAAAGAAAAACCAAAGGGGATTTCTAAATAAGCTCCGCCCCTAAAGCTACCTATATTTCAGCTGTTTGATCGAACTGAATGTCTGATTTTCGTTTTCCTTCTTTTTTCTTTTTTCTCACCACTTGAAAATTTAATTGGACTCTTTCAGAGTGCTTGATATCTGGGGACATGCAGAAAGAAAGCCAATGAATGGATTCAGATGATTCACGGATAAACCGGAAAATGGAAATCTCGTGGTGCCAATTCATTTTTAATGAGGTTCATGAGGTTTTTTAATAATTGCCGGAACAAGAGAATGAATGTCATTTTTTTGTTATACTTTCTCTTTTCTTTTTCATATCAATCCGGCTTATTATACCAAATTACTACCAGAGCACTAACGTCATGGGGTGTGGTTAGTGCACGCACATTCTTCCGTAAAAACTAGGCTGAAATCAGTGTTTTTCTGAAAGTATTGGGTTGAAATGTAAAAGGGACGGAAAGTGTGACAAACAATCACATTAAAAATTCTCAAGTTATTTTCAAGAATGACATGAGTAGACAGCACGAGAATAATACTAACGCTGGCCATGCTGAAACATACTCTTGCAATGAATTCTGACTTATAAAAAAGGCAAAGAGTGCAAAGAGTACCTATTCAACCAAAACGTTGTCAGCTGTGTAAACCCTTCTTGTTGAGACAGTTGCGAAGAATATGCAAATGATTTCTATGGTTTTGTACCTGACCATCAAACTTTGAATCTAGCAGAGATGTCTGAAATGACTTTGAAAAACGGAATCCGAAATTCAGATATCTCCAATGTGCAGAAAAATTCTAAAGAACACACATGGCGCTCTATTTTTGCATCGTGAGTAGCGGAGTTAAAAAATTCCCGCGTCAGAATATTCTTGCATATTTGCTGAAAATCCCAAACAAAATAATTTTACCGAAACCCAGAATTTGGAATTCCGAATTAATAATTCTTTGCGGAATTGGGAATACGAAATATGTACTAGAATACCAAATTTCCTCTAATAGAAGCCCACCGCAACCATCAACTTTCAGCTTAATTATCTCGTTTTCAGAGAAAGATTTCAAAATTTTCTCAACTGATAAAATAGTGCTGATATTAGGACAAATAAGTAATCAAATGAAAAATTTGTTATATATTTCATAGGATCCGAGATAATTGTGCTCAAAGATGATGGTTTGGGCGGGGTTCTATTAGATGAAGTACAATATATTTCACGGAACCCAGAATACGGAATCCAAATCCTCACATCTCTGAAATCCGGTAGTTCTCTCTCTCTCTCTCTCTCTCTCTCTCTCTCTCTCTCGAGTTATGTACTATTTGTACCAGGAAGTTTCATTCTTGAAAGGTCAAATGGACCATTTCGAAAAGTGTATTCATAGAAGATCATGAGACAACAATAGTCGGAATAGTCACCAACACGGATGTGTGTTTAAAGACACTGACATATGCGAAAATACGGAGCAAAACGAAGGGACGTGTCAATGGGTCGTGAATTATTGAAATTTCGCGAAAAAATAGTTATTTTCTTCGTTTCTCCTTCATGTCATTTTTTTGTGTCATGAGCACCAAGCTGAAGAAAAAAGGCTATGGAAATAAGAGTGAATAAACGGAAATGACCTACATCTTGTGGCTTTTTTCATGTTGCAGACTTAGACTTGGAAAAAGGGGGCAAAGAACAGGAAGCACATTTTTATGATTCAGTTCGATACGGTTTCAAAGGATCCATGGTTTCATCTTTCATGGTCCAAGTTCAACATACACAAACGCTAAAAAGGGAAAACTGGGGACATACAAAATTTTCTACAAAAATTTCTGTTTGTAATTAGTTAAGATTGCTCTAGATTGTGGTACCTACATTTACAGTTTAATCCTGACACCAACAGCTTTCGTTTTACCCAGCCGCCATCAACCCTCTGATAATAAATTTTAAAACTCCCAGAATCCTCTAACAAGACTTTTATAGTGCGATAATTTTAAAAGAAATTTTTACCGACATTTCCAGTCTGCAGAAATTCGGTTTGCCAGCCTGCAGACATCGACCAGTCAACGCTTTTCGACTGCCCTTTAGCAGTCGTTTAACAGCCTATTTTTTAGGTGGACTGGTTTGAGAATAATTCGTTATCATCATTCTATAACCTAGTGTGAGCATAACATATTGTTTTCTGACTGATTTCCTTTCAAAACTTTCGAGTATGTTTTCCAATGGGTTTCGTTGGTCCGCCAACAGTCCGTCAGTTCTCCTTTGGCAGCCGACTAGCAGCCAACCGCCAACTTGCGTCTCCTCAGTTGTCATTCAGGCTCAGGAAGATGCAATCAATTACGAAGCTCTCAATCTTGCCGAAGTTTATAAAGAACACTGTGTTGAGATGTTTGAAAAATGGTGGAACTGTAAAGTGAGAGAATGTTTGTTTTTCAATAGCAGTTCAAACAACTTTCAGGAAATTGACCTCGGATTCTGTTTGAACTGTAACTTCTATTCGGATAAGCTGGAAATTTGTATATCCTGCGAACTCAAACAGCGAAATTCTGCGCTTCACTATAAACCTGGACTCCAAGAAACACAATTGCAGTTTAATTATGATGGATTGGCTACGTTACCGATGAGATGGCAATGTGAAGAATGTGAAAAAAAGGCTTCAGGCAAATTGGATGCACCAATATTTCGGAAATTCGAGGCTGGAAAGAAGGAGAGGAGAACTGACTCGTGGATGCAATCATCTGAAAAGCAGATTAGAGAAACAACAGGATAAATGTGAACATAATGTAATCAAATTGAAAGATATTCCGAATTATCAATATGCGATAAAAGTGGCCACTCTGAAGCCCTTTGAAAGAATTCTGAAAGCGGGAATTGAGGAAAAGGTCAATTGTAAGCTGTGGAAAATAAGAATGCTGAAGATCTACGGCATTATGATTGGTCATCTCCGTTGTTATTTCAAAACCGCGATGGCAGGCTGTGAAGAAGGCGAAGCAAAAAATTTGAAATTCAAAATCACATTTTGGATTGATCATATAAAGCAGGAGTGGAATCAATACAAATCAAAACAAGAACAAACGTGCGAATGCACTGAAATTTGGAACTGCTCAGACAACGATTCGAGAAAAAAACTGAAAGAAATTGCCAGTTTTCATTGTAACATTGTAACGAAATTGTGGATAGATGTCCTCTCCAGATGGAACATGGAATATTTTCAAAATGAGCAATTCAATCAGAAAATGAGTCAAAATGAAAATAGAAGCTTACGTATCATCAATTCATAAATTTTGTATTCCAATTTAACTTTTTTTGATAAGACCAGCAAGCTGGTGCGCCTTCGGCGCGACTCAATCTAGTTTTTTTTACTTGTTTGTCGTTCCACCATTCACGTTTTCTTGAATGGTCACGTAATCTATACTTATTTTTTCAAGCTTTTCAAAAGATAAAAGCGTGACATCGGGACGGACAGACGCGCCTAGCGTTTTATATTTAAGGAAGATATTAACTATGTAGTTTTTATGTCTCAAACATTGCTAATTGTTATTTCCTTGTACAATGTCTTAAATAAACGTCAATTGTTTATTGCTACGACTAAACTTCTATTTCTCACTCTTATCAATCGTGTTGCAACAAAAAAGAAGTTATAAAAGCAAACAATTGATTTCAGTTTTCTCTCAATTTTTTATTTTATTTTTGAATATTTTATATTACTTTTGGCTGCTACTAGAAACCGCAATACAGTACCTTTAGAAAGTTTATAGAATTTCCGTGTTTGACTTAATTTCCCTTGTGATTATAAACTTCATACATTGAATTTATTTTTTTGAGTGTAATTGATGTCAAGGATTATCATACTAGTTCTAGCTAGAACTTTCGATGAATACTTTCTCTAACTTCGAACTTTGAGCCAATTGTTCTCGGCTCCTGTGAAATATATAAAAAAGCTGTCAACTGATAAATTGCTTATCATAAGAAGTGTTTTGTCAGTAGTCACATTTTTGATATCTTGCATAGGTGCCAAAAAACCTGTTCACAAACGACAGTGTGGTAGCCCTTCTAATACAGGCTTTACGGTATCTAATAATATTTTCTTCAGAAATTATGTTTTGCTGAAGTTTGTCTCTGAAAAAACAATTTTTGCAGATTCTAAATGTTCCGATTGAAGTCCATTATTTGTGTTGGATGTGCTGATAGTGGTGTCAGTAACGTTTTCTATGGTAGGGTATTGTATTTATCATTCTGAAATGTTTTGAAAGTATTCGTTGAAACTCTTTAGATACCGAAACAAAACGTCCGTTATTTATCCAATGTGGACACCCAATATGTTCGTTATGTGTCACGAAATACGAAGATTGTCCTGTTTGTAAAAAGAAAGTTGTGAATATTGAAAACTATGCAGCTCGAAACATTTATGAAGATCTCAAAAAGAACCCACTGATAGTATTCAAAAAATGGTTCAAAGCGGAAGTGAGTTGATTCTTTTGATTTGAAACAAAATATTGTAAGTTCGTTCAGGTCGATGGTAAAGAATTCTGTTCGAATTGTCATGATGAGTCTCGAAAACTTCAGTTGTGCATCACTTGTGAATTAGAATTGAGAAATTTGGGAATAGAATATGTTGCGAATGATGGAACTGATTGGGAAGATTATGGACAACGATCAGAAATACTCAGAAAACATGAAATTGCAATGAACAGGTGGAGAGGATCTGGTAATAAAAATTGATAGTGATAGAACCAAAATGATTCTTTAGCATCTCAGAAATGGCTTGCGCCTCGTCCAGAATTAAAAGATGAGAAAGAATGGAGAGCTAGATTCCGATGTGAGTACTACATTCTGGCCAATCGATTAATCTGTTCAGACTGTATTTTGGACCACCATCAAGGTCATTTAGTAAAGTCACTTCATCAGTTGGAATACACTCCAGAGAAGCTGAAACAGAGATCATCATTCGTTGCCGCCAATTTCATTTGGTCCGAGTTGAAATCAAGAGAAGGCAACTGTTTGATACAGACAATGAAGTTGCATAGAACATGCGAGAGACTTGCTCATCTTGCGATGTTTTACTATCCTTCTTCAAATGAATCTATAACATTTGGCGACACTCATAATCGGCATCTTAGCAGAGTGAACAAGTATTTCGAGTCTTCTCTTTTAAAAATTGTTGATAAGATTTCAATAGAGCAAGGTGACACATGGATTGAAATAATGGAAAAACAGCTTTCTCTTTTGGATGAACAGAGAAACTGTAGTTGTCGAGAAGTCTGGAACGAAATGCATAGTCTTTATTTTGGAAATCAAATTGAGAAAAAGTTCATTGAAATAATCAATCAACTGGAGAATGTAGTTGTTTCTGAATGCCCCTTGTTTGCCGAAGTTTTTCAAGAAACGAGGAATAAAGCACTCGAAGTTTGTTTTTTGAGTTTTGAACCCCAATAATTATACTGAATTTTTCAGGCTTCCAAAATTAAATTATTTAAAATTTACACAGTGTTTTGCTGGAACTGTGACAGAAAGGGAATATGCTGTCTTTTTGGTAAGCATGTTTTTGATACCTCTTTGAAATGTTTAAGATTTCAGACAACCTGGAACGGCAACCATGTATTTGTTCTGGATGTAAAATGACCACATGCATGGAGTGTTTGAAAATAAATGCAAACTACAAATGCTTTCACTGTGGGAATCGTTGTTTTGTGAGTTGAAATTTTGGCTCTTCTATATAATAGTTTAGAGGTCCGAAAAAAATTAGAGGTTCCAAAAAAATGGAGGTCCGATGTTTGAAAAACACACAGATGCTTGAATGGCACTCATTCTCCTATTAGGCCACAAAACTTAAACTTCTTACACAGTACCATTGGTAGATTATTCCAACATCTGTGCGTTTTCTCAAATATCGGACCTCTAATTTTTCGGACCTCTATTTCATTTTGACACCATACTTGTAAAATTCCGGGCCGTTCCGCCAAAGCCCGGGCCCGGGCCGGGTTGGGTTTGAGGAAATTTTCAAGGCCCGGGCCCGGCCCGGAAGGCCCGGTGTCAAAAATTCTGTATTTTTGAGCCAAATATTGAGCTCTCAATATAATTTTTTTCCATTTTTCTTTCGTATTTCGGATTGTTTGTCTGTCTGATGAAAAAAGATCGAAAAACTCGAAAAAAAATTTTTTGGTCGAAAAAAATCACATAAGGGTCCCCCCTTATGTGTTTTTTGAACATTTCGAAACTAATGAAATGACGGGCCCGCCGGGTCGGGCCGGGCCTCCGAATTTCCGGAAAAAGCCCGGCCCGTTACAAGTATGTTTAACAGCTCTACATTTTTTCGCACCTCTATTATTTTTTGGGATCTCTAAACTTTCAAAAAGAGCAGAAATTTTTGAGTATCACGATTATAGGATACTCAGTACCTGGATTTTGGAACAGAACGCAGATACAATGTTGATGAATCAGTGTTGGACTTGGTGGAATTTTATAAAACAAATTGCGCAGAATTGTTTGAAAAGTGGTGGACTTGTAAAGTAAGAACTAAACATTTTTTAGATTTACAGCACTACGTTTCAGGCATCGGAGCTCAGCTTCTGTTTGAGTTGTTCGTCGTACTCGGATAGTCTGGAAGTCTGTGCTTTCTGTGAATTGTCGCATAGAATGAATGTGTTGAGGTCGAACCGGAAAATGTACTGCAGTGCACAATATCATCAAAATATGCCGTTATTCTTCAATTTCTCCAATTTGAAAACATTTCCAATCCGATGGCAATGTTCGGACTGCAATAAAAGGCTGGAAGCTAATTGGGATCATAAATATTGTGGAGATAATAGATCTGCGAAATGGATTGGGAATTGGAATCGTGGATGCAATCATCTGCTAACCCGACTTTACGATACAAAAACTTGTTCAAGCTACGAACAGAATGCGGATAAGTGTGAATACAATGCTATCGATTTGAAGGATATTCGCAATTATCAAAGTGCAATGAAAGTGGCCACAATGGGATTAATATTTAGGATCTTGAAGAGTGGAATCGAATCAGTACAGTGCAACTCGAGAAGGATAAAATTGTTGAAGATCTATGGAATGCTGAAATGCCAAACTCGGTATTATTTCAAGAAATTGATGGACGACAGAGTATTATCAAAAATGGATAAACTCTCCGACAACATTAATGAATTGATTGGAAAACTGAAACTGGAATGGACAAGTCTGAAAAACCATGAAACAGAATGCACATGCACGATATCCAGGTCACATTCAGAAGATTCGGGTGATTGCTTTGAGTCTTATTGTTGTTTATTTCCGACGATGTGAAGGCGACATTCTTCAGAAATGGCAAACCACATTAAAAAATGTTTTCTTTAATTTGCTGTTATTTTAGAAAATTGTATTGTGTTTTTATATTCAAAAAAAGACGATCAATGATTTTATTCTATTTATGAATATTCATCTGTTGGAACATTTTTTTTTAATTTTTTTGGTTGCTGTGAAAGAACAAGGTCCTTAAAAGGCGCGCTTGCATTTTCGACTGCGTTTTCAGGGAAGAATTTTTTTTCCCTCACAAAAAATTTTTTTTATGAAGTTATATGTATTATGAAAATACATCACCTTGGGAAGATTTCAATGCAAAAAATACAAACAATTTTTTGGTAGTCCCCCCTCTAGAAAGTTTTGATAGAACCCACTTTATATTAATATCAACATTGTTTTCTGTTCTCTTGCTAACTCTTATTTTTCTTATCAGCTGAATGATGAAATCACCCAACACATGTTTGCTGACACAATATAAAATTTCTATTTTCAAACTTCCTTTGCAATGTTTCGTTTAGTATCTGTCGAATGTTATGGATGTAGATACAAAGGAAAACCGAATACCTATTACGGTTAGATATCTTCAGACTCCGTCCGAATAATTACATATTTTCAGACGATAACACAAAGCGGCCCGTTTTCAATCAATGTGGTCATTCATTGTGTACTGAATGTGCAGAAGTTTTCCACAATTGTCCAATTTGTGATAAAGAAATCCAGACGATTGAAAATTTCACTGCGCGAAGTTTACTTGATGACTATAAGAGAGATGCGATGAGAATTTTCAAAAACTGGTGGAATGCAACAGTTGGTTTCCTAAACTAACATTTTTGAAATATCGTAAAACATGAATTAGAAGGGTGTCTTTCCCAGAAGGGCTCTACTAATAAAAGAGCTTTCAAAATTACATCCTTCATTTTTGGAAAAACCGTTTAAAAAATGAACATAAAAATAGAAGGAATACAGGTTTTAATATAAATGTAATACAGGTTTTAATACACGGTATGCATATAAATTTGTAATACACGGTCCCTTGTAATACACGGTATACATATAAATTTGCAGGGAAACGAGAGAGAAACTTGTACAAGATGCTATGAACCCTGTGAAAACCTACGATTATGTCTCAGTTGTTATTCCTCGAAACTAGATTTTATTGTCGTTTATGGTGAAGAGAATGAGCAGAAACCATGGATGAACAGCGAAATGAGACAGGAAAGGAGAAAACAAATTGAAGCGTTCCGTGATAAATCGTTGTATAGTGAAACGGACCCGGATGCTGATCCAGAAGAAATCGAACTGAAGATCTATTTTCATTGCGATTTCTCCCTATTCGCAAATCTCGCTTGTTGTTCTAGCTGCATTCTGGATCATCATGGGGACCATTTAGTAAATACGAGAGAGGAATTGGAACCAATTATGGACGTATTCAAGCAGTCAGCAGCAAAGGTTGCAGTAGGATTTCTTACTGACCAGATAAATCAAATGAAGTCAAGTTGTAAGATAAAAATGATGAGACTGCACAGAACTTGCGAAATACTCTCTCATTTTGCAAACAACTATTTTCGTTCACCAGACGGAAATCCCCGAGTTCCAGACATTCATATCAGTCGTCGTTCTGCATTGAATAAATTTTTCAAGCTACTTCCTTGGGATAACCTAGACGGAATCACACGTGGAGACGTTGATGAAATTATTGAGAATCTCGAATATCAAATGAGCAATCTGAACTGTTCAGAAGAGTGTCACTGTTCAGAAATTTGGGATGAAATGCAATTATCATTTTATAGAAATCAAATTGAGCGAGAATTCGCTAGAGTGATTGAAGAACTAAATAATCAAAAAATTATAAAGTGTTCATTCCCGGAACTTAAATTTCAGAAAACTCGTGGAGAAGCTATTCAGGTGAGTGTTCAATGTCTTGGAAAAATATCAGTGAATTCTTGGGAAAAAATTTACAGATGTCCAAATTAAAACTACCTTTGATATACACGGTCTTCTGCTGGAACTACAAAAACGAAAAATTATGTGGGATGTTCGGTAGGTCCTCGGCTCAGTTCAATTAAAGGAGGTCCCTTCAATAAGTTCAACTCCCTGTAAACAGAAAAAAAATTCAAGACAGTTATTTTTTTCATGTCCCCCACCTTTAAATAAAAAATTTCAGATAATCTGAATCATAAACCATGTCGATGTCCTAACTGTAAGAAACCATCCTGCCTGGAATGCTTGGAATCAACTAAACGATGTCCGTTTTGTGGAGTATTATATGAGGTGAGAAAAGAAGCGTAACGAAAAAAAAACGAGTTCTAATCCATAATTTGAGAGCATACCAACGGAATATGAACCAGAAATCAGCAACGAGACATTGGATCTTGTAAATTTTTACAAGAATAATTTTCTTGAGCTTCTGATAGAATGGTGGCACTGTGATGTGAGTAAATCTACTGTCAAAATTGAAAGCTATTACCCTTTTTGCAGGCATCTAAACTTGGATTCTGCTTGCAGTGCAATTCATTTTCTAACGATTTGGAAATTTGCGTCTTCTGCGAACTAGATCAAAAACCATCGGCTTTGAGAACAAATACGATGGGTCCATATCATCGATCCGATTCTCTGTTTTACAATTTCCGTGGTCTTAAAACACTTCCGATCCGATGGCAATGTGCCGATTGCAACCAACAGCTCATTGAAAATTGGGTTCATAACTCTTGTGAAGATTCTGTGTTGAATGGAGTATCCTGGAAACGTGGATGTTCCCATCTGAATTCTCGTGTATCTTTTTGCAAACTCATAAGAGAAGACGGATGTTCTTCCAAAGTTATTGGGCTGAAGGAAATTCAAAAATATGAAACCGCTATGAAAGTTTCCACAATTGGATTAATCCATAAAATAGCTGAAGTAGCAATCAAAGAACAAGTGTTCTGTGAGTTCGAAAAAATGCAATTTTTGAAAACTCTGGGTATGGTGACTACTAGAATGCATCAGTGTTTCCTGAACTCCAGAAAACCGCACAGTCAAAAAATGGAAATTTCAAATCAACTGGAACAATTCCAAACCAAATGGCTTAACTATCAGGATAATCAAACAAAATGTGACTGCAGTTTGAATGAAACTGAAAACCGTGGGAAATACAGGAAAAAACGGAAAGTGTTTTTAAAATCATTCAAAGACCAATTAACTGATATATGCCCTTTCAAATCTTGTGGTGATGCAGGCAATTCGTATAACTTTGACGACGAAGAAGCAGGAGAGGAATTTGAAATTTTCTGGGTAAGTTTCATTTTTAAAAGAAGTCGGAGGAAAACTTGATTTCGCAATAGTGTGATGGTTGCCAGTGCAACTTTCCATCAAATAGAAAAGAGACGCAGACATTGAAACCAAATCATATGATTGTGATTCTTCTATTAGACCGATATTTTCTGTTTAAAACATTTTCTTTTATTCAGAGTCAAACATGGTCCCTGTGAATGTTGAAATCCAATGAGAACTTGTTTTTTCTCCGCCCATCGTTGATCGATTCCATTGCTCACTCTAAAATATATCCTTCTTCTTCCTCTTTACCACGAAAAATTGAACCAATATAAGAAACAATTTTCGAATAAAGTTTTTGTAAACCTGAATGCTTTCTCTTGCTTTTTACTACTGCTACGGCTGCCGTTCTAACCGTGGAGTCAATTTGTTCGGTTTGTTTAATGAATTTTCAAAAAAACAAGTTCATTTTAGACTGTGAGAGAAGAAAGCCATGTATCGGCTCATGTGGCCACTCAATTTGTTTAGAATGTGTTGATAAAAATGTGAACAGAAAGTGTCCGGTATGTGAAAAAAGCAAAGCATTCGTCAACAAGACCATCAACTATTCGTCTTTGCAACTTATCGAGGACTCTAAAAAGAACTATTGGGATTTTATGAAAAAGTGGTGGAGTGGAACTGTGAGTGTTGAGACTTAACATTGAACTTTGAATGATCCCATTTTCAGGGCACCGGTAAAGTGTCTTGTTCAAAATGCTCCAAACAAGCATCCATCCCGCGGATATGTTTAACTTGTGACGAAAACCATTGCTGTCAAAGAGGAAGACGTGGAGCGTATAGACTGAGACTGCGACGGAATATCGATCTGCTGAATCTCGCAACACAAGTTATTTGTACCGATTGTGCTCTTACATATCATGAGGAACACGTAACTATTAGGCTGGACCGAATGGATTACTTTGAAGAGGACTTGAAAATGGCAACGTCCGAAATAATTTTGAAATTGTTTCGAGATTGGATGAAGGAAAAAGAAACGAATACTACATGCAAACTACGGCATATAAGAATTGAATTGAGTGGTCGTTTTCTATGGAAAGCGTTCGAAGAAAATACTCAATCGAGAGAAGGTCAATGTGGATGGCTTTTAGAACAGATAAAAATAAATTTTATCAAAAAAGGGATTGCAAACTTGGATAGACAACTGGAACAGCTTTCTATGATAACCGAAGAATGTGAATGTAATCGACTCTATGGGCAGATGGTGAAAACGGGATATCGATCACCAGGAGGCATACAGTACGATTTCGAGATTTTTGCAGTTCATTGCATTGAGAGCGAGAAATTGGGATGCCCGTTGTATTTTGAACCAAATGAAAGTAATTATCAGAAGCTGATCGGCAAAACAGGACAAATGGCTTCAGTAGGAACGCAGTAAAATAAGCCATTCAATATATTCAGTTTTTAGGTCAGCTCGAAAACTTTGATTCCACTAACCGATTATAATGAGAACTGTCCTTTATGCGTTCTTTTGGGTTTGTTTTTCGATTCAAGATACCACAACTCTCTTAACTCTCAGGGCATCAAGAAACAAAGAAGAAACGTCTGGAATCCTATGCCACCAATTGTATCGAAATATACGAAAACTGGTGGAAAAGTGAAATGGTATGATGAATTGTAGTTCTAATAATGATATAAAAATGAGATTTTCTGAGCCGGCGCTTGAAACTTTATGCTTCCGATGCTTGGACCACCTGAACCATTTCAAAACTCGCATGTCTTGTAAATATGAACAAAATCAACGTATGAGGAACGGAAGAAAACGAGGAATGTGTATGAATTACAAAGAAGATTCTGACATGGATGAGTGCGATAATCCAAACTGTTCATTGAGAAATACAGAGGATTGGAAGTTTTCTATCAAAGAACATACCAGTGGCCACGCGGGCCGTATCGTGATAGAAGGAATCGGATCAGTTGAAGGGTTTTTGGATTGTAAACTGAGAAGAATGAGATTGATGAATATTTATCATATGGTTTCCATCCGTGCCGGCCGCTTCACCGCAGAATATTTAACGAAATGGAGCAATGACGAAGTAACTGAAAACTGTCAGAGGGTGAATGATTTAATTGAAGTATTGAAATCTCAGTGGAATGAATTTCGGTTTGGAAATAGAAACGAAACGGCAGATGCAGGATCAAAATGCAGGTGTACTCTTCTGTTGGAACAAGAGAAACTTGTGCTGGATAGAGTGTACGATAATATTGCTAGATATCATTTAACGTCATTTGCAGAAGGATGCCCATTGACATTCGATCATGGAATAAACATTGAAAACTTGCTAATTTCTACTCAAATTGATAGAGTTGTTATTTGAGATATAACAAGTAGTGATTTTCAAAAGTTTTAATTTTGGGAAAAATATTCAGAAAGTGTTAATATTTCTGTTATATTTGTTGAAAAAACACGTTGCTCCCAAAAACTTAACGGTCCATCTTTTGGGAGATTCAAAGGATTCACAAAAATTTTTGAAATTTCAGTACTTTGATGTGAAAATTAACACTTTTGAAATTCACTAATTGTTATATAGTAAGATAAAGTATGCGTCTATTTTTCTGTTAAACTCTGTTCAATCTTTCTGATTTCATAGATAATCAAACTCTACATATACCCATTCTAAACCTATTTTCGAACTTCACACACTCTTGCTATGTCTTCCTTTTTCTACGTCTCTACTATTCCTCATTTCTCTATTTCTTCCTCACACTTGTTGTCTTGCTAACTTTAATATTGGTCGCAATTTTCAATAATAATGATATATTTCCACCTATTTCTGTATTCGGTTTCAAGCTGTCTTTGACCACTGATAGAGTCAAAATGGATGCTGAAAAGATAAATAAAGAATATGAGCAAGAGTTGCTGCTTCTTCAATTGAATGGGATGATGAAACTTCACGAGGAAGATAGAAAACATCAAGAGGAGTTGAGAGTAAGTCATTTTTGAAATACACTGTGAGACTTTCATTTTTAGAGAAATAAACAAAATCATCACTACGAAATGGTGCGTTTGAGAGGAAAAGAATCAGAAGAACAACACAAAGTACAAGAGTTTGAACGGAAAAGAGTTGAAGAATCGAGAAGACATGAAAGTGAAATGATGGATATTGAAAGAATAAATTTGAAAGAAGAAGAAAAACTTCGAGATGAAAAGATGAAGTTGTTTAAGGTAAGAATTCTAACATTTCTTGTCCATTCTGGATCTCATCAAAATGAAAATTTTACAGGAAAATCTGAAAAAAGAAGATGAGTCATTTAGAAGCGAAGCTAATCAATTGCAAATTCTTTTTAATGAAAGCCTCATGGTCCATGCGAATCTCGATAAAATAGAGGAAATCAAAACAATGAAGAAGATAGTTCTGGAAGTGGATACTAAATGGTCTGATGTCAAAAAGTCTTATGAATTGACTGAGGAAGTTTACTTTTTAACCGGCGAGAAACTCGAACCTGAAGATAAGGAATATCTACTGGTAAAGCCTTCATGAATTATTAGATCAAGTCCAATTTTCAGCAAGACATCGAAAGTTTGTTGGCCAAGAAACTGAGTCTCGAAAAACATTTATGTCTAGTTAATAAAGGTTTGGGAAAGTGGAAATCAATTGCTGATGAGAAATGTTATGAAGACGTTAAGGTAATTACTCTCTGCAAATTCATATAAAATCAAATCCCATTTCCAGAGAGAATTGGAAAAACTGCAAACTGCAATGAAAAACTTCGAGAAGGCCATTTTGAACTTGAGGAAAACAATTGTGTGTTTAAAAATGTTTTTTTTCCAGAAAAATATTTACATTGTCTTGCAGAAATTAAATAATCCAATCGAAGGAGCTCTATTACCAGAAATCAACTCAATCATTAGTTCAAGTGATGCTACAGTGAAAAATCTCACTATAAACCCGATGTTGATGAAAACAAGTTTCCAAGAAATGCTTGGAAACTAATTACTATCGTAAAGCCTGTAATAGAAAAGACCCATAACTTTTATCTTTGAGCCAGTTTTTCTCGGCTCCTGTCAAAGATATCAAAAAGTGGACAACTGATAAAATTTTTATCATAATATCACAAACATTTCTCCAGTTGACATATTTATGATATAATGCATAGGGATTCGGATAATTAAGCTCAAACTTGACAGTATGCGGCCCTTCTATGTCAGGTTTATGGTATCTTTCTTAATTCGTTCATTTATTCCTTTTTCTTTTTTTGTGAAAAATGAATCAATAAACCCTTTTTCTTCTCTAACATTATTTTAATCTGTTATCACTTAAAGGTTTTTCCTTCGTTTGTTATATTTTCGTATCATCAACAAGTTGTGACTCATTCTTAATAGCAAAGCGATTGCTTTTTTCGTTTCGAAAGTTTTTTATGAGTTTCAGTATGCTATGAAATGGTCACTATTGTGGAATTAGAAGAAGAAAACGAGGAGATTGAAACGTAAGATTTCTGATTTCATAATTTCTATGTCGAAACTTAAAACTTTTGCAGTCTCGCTGTAAAGAAACAAATACTTTTGGAACAGTCTGGCGACGTTTTGGAGGAAATTCACAAAACCCGAGAATTGATGATGGAAGAGTAAGAGTTTTCAATATCTTTCAATTCCTAGTTTTCAATTTGAAACATCTTTTAGATTCGAAAGAATACATATAGAAACCGTGCTATCTTATCAGGAAAAAATTGAAAAAGAAGCACAAGAATATGAACAAATTTATGAGGAAACAAAATTAAGGATTGAGGAGGAAACGGTGGAATTACAGAACAAGCTTTGCGAATTTCTAGAAGAAATAATTGAAGAAAAAGGAAAGCTGATAGAACTTACAATGCAGGAAAAAGAGTGTCGAAAAATTACCGATGAGATTTTCGAAATCATTCAAAATTGGACGGATATTGGTTTTATTTTCAGCCAAATTCTCGGAATGGTTCGTTGTTTCAATGTGTGTTTAATTGTTCGATTTTGAAATTTCAGCGAGAAGCTCAGAATGTGGTCGAAGATACCTGTTCAGAAGAAACAGACCCTCTAGTAGTTAAGATTTTGGACAAAATAAAGCAACGAATATTTGTGAGCTTTTTTTTTTGAGTTCTAAAAATATTATTCTAAAGATATTTCTGCAGGGCAAAGTTCAAACAATCTTGAGATTGCACCAATCGAATTCAGAAAAGATAGACGGCGTACTGAAAAGGATTGACGAGTTTTTGGATTTCGTGGAACTAGGATACAATGAATTGAGTCGATCTATTTTCATACTAGTTTTAAACTCTATGAAAAATGTTCCATTCAATACATTGGAAGTATGTTTTTGTTTAAATTCGGAACTGATTTCTCTCACTTCATTGCATAAGTTTTCAGAATCAAGACCTGACTGATGACAACATTGATAACGTCAAGGAATCTGTCAACAAAATCAGAGATTTTTTATCCTACGTGCCTTTGTGTCAATTAAGACCTCGAAAATCTCTCCGGCAATTTTTATGGGATGAGATCGATTCATATCAGAGAGATAATGATATTTTTTTCGACCTGGAAAACCTGTAAATAAAAAATGATTCACTTTAAAATGCATCAATAGTAAATACATAAATGTATTGAAATCGAACGAGACAGTAAAGTAGAATAACCCGAGGAATGCATAAAGTGGAACGAAAACAAAATCCTGGAACAGTAGAGAGAACACAACAGAAGTCTTAGGATTAGGGTCTTAGGATTCAGCGATGGTAGACACGATGTGCACGAATCGGGACTGGTGTGATTGATCTGCGTTGAATTCTGGATGGAGCGGCGATTTGACGAGAAAATGGGTGGGGTGACGTGGCAACTTGGAATGGAGTCGGAGCTGCGGCTTGTGCTGATGACTGTTTTATGTCTGGAAAGAAAAGAAAGTTGTATTATTGGCTAACGGTTTTCAATTATGCGCTAAACTCAAGGATCATAAAAAAAAGGTTCAATTAGAGGTTCAATTATCCCTTTCACTCGTTTCTTTTCCCTCAATTGAAACGTCGGTTTTTCCAATGAAACCGAAATACTTTCTCTTTTTTGGCTATCGACTAGGAAAAGGAGAACGTTTCGACTTACCAGACGACTCTGTGACTTCTGAAGTAGCTGAACTGATTGACAAAACAGTAATTGTGAAAAGAAGAATCACAATACTCGAAGATGTCATTCTGTGCTGGAAAAACGAAAAATTTGAAGGCGTGCTTCTAGAATGTTGACTTGTCGTGAGAAGACAAAATTTCGAGGGGAAGGAGAAGAAGAAGAGTCGAAAATATAAATAATTGATGGTGGAAGAGTTGAAAAGTAACAGAATAACTAGTAAGCGGGTGGTCTACCTGCCTCTCCGGAATTTCGAAATATTTATAGTAACAGAAAAAGAGATTCTGGGCTGCTGATGCCGATTGTAATGCGTGTGTTTTGAATGAGGAAGAAAAGCTTTGTTTCAATGGTTCTTGTTTACAAGAAAGTTTTTCAGTTGTGGAGATTTCAATTAGGTTGAAAGTCAATAAGACTTCAGCAAAGCCTTGTTCAAACCTTGCTGGGTCAGTTTTGAAAAAAAAAATGAAAAATTCATTTTTCCAGAATCGCAAGACAGTTTAATGATATGAAAAGTTTTTGTGTATTACTCTGGTCTAATTTAAATGCGAGTTGAGGCCGGAAATTAGAGGGTAAAAATCTTATAAAAATCACGACAATTCATTGGAAAATCGAAAAAAATAGGTCAGCAAATATTCAAGAAAAATACATACTCTTTTAAAATTTTCGCTTCCGGACCTAAGCTCCGCACACCCTCGAATTTTCAGCCTTGAAATTAATTAGATGAGAGTAATATCAATATAAAAATTGTTTCTCTAATATTATTTAAAAAACTAATGTTAGCAGAAAAAGAGAACTTCAAATTGGCTATTTTCAAGAGTTTCCAATTAATCTATGGCCTGAAAAATATAATTGCATATACGTGCCATCATCTCTAATTAACTACAAAACGCTAGTTGTCAAATGCTGCTCTAACGTTAACCAAGAGAAAACGTCTGAAGTATAAAAAAGAAGCGAGCCTCGCGTTCTGATAAAACACTCCCAAGAATCTTCAAGAACTCCGCTGACATTGTTTGTAAAAAAGTGAAATGATCCGCTAAACCATCAAAGAGTAAGCATTATTTACATCGATAGTGAAGACATGGCACTACATCAAAAATCACTTGACAAATCTCGTTTTTTTATCGGGCACCGTTTTCCGAATGTGACTCTCCTCTATAACAAGAGTATAAGATCAACATTCGAGCAAACAAAGCTTGTGGTCTCTCTGTGGCATTCAAGTATTAAAAAGAAAAGAAGAAGTTGTGAGAAAGGAGACTGTACTGGAGAGACAAATGGGAATCGGTTGAAAAACAAAATCCTCTCATTACTGTTTTCAACGTGGATATCCCTTGTCTCATCCGGATTTGTAGTAAAAACGGGAGCGATGGTTGGTGGGAGAAAAGCCAAGCCCGCCAATTTAAAACGAAAAACCGACCAAAACTTTTAGCGGACACGATGAGAGAAGAGGGATGGCTTGTAGTAGAATAAGGATGGCCGCCCCACAGTAATAGGTGGGTAGAGGTGGAAAAAAAGGATGATCATCATGAAGAACGTGTTATTATTTATACGGTAAAAGAGGCAGGAAGGGGAAGCGGGTGGGCAGAAAAGGATTTGGCAGGTTGGGACATCTAGAAGACGATGACACCCCAAGAAGAAGATGAAGAAGTTGGGAAGGACTTCCTGCCAACGTTTGAAATTAGACTCAACTGGTAGTCTAATCTTTTCCTTCTAATCCTAATCCAATGAGAAAAAATGGAAATGAAGTGTTTTGAAGTTAGAAGAAGCTTTCCGTTTGAATCTAGAGACAACATTTTGAAACGAATCGAATTGTGAATTGGAACATTTCCGTTTCGTCGAAAAGGTCACAAAGTGGTTGAAAGGGATTTTCACTACTTGAGTCATTATGTGTCAGTCATTACCAGAAAATGACACCCGGTTGGTTGCAACTCAAGCGATAATTGGCGCCGGACAGTGGGGGTTGACTGGGGAGTAGAGGGCAAATTGGAATGGAAGAGAAATGCGGGAGGAGTTGACCCTTCCCCAGTGTTGTTAGAACCCCGTTGTAAAGGTAACCAAAGCAGAAAGAAGAGATTCCGATGAAAGGGCAACGTCGGAGTGTAAACTCATTTGACCCGCGTATCATATTAATTGTCAAAAGGTATTCAACTACGAATTGCGGGGTAAGTTTTATACATGCATGGAAAATGCAACTTCATAGAAATGGAATCCCATACTGGGCAGAACTGGCAGAATTGAAAAAAATTGAAAACATACTTTCAACAAACCTGACCGGACTTTTTTTCAATACTTTCAAGGTCCGACCCGACCGGATTTTGCCCTGGGGTTCTGTAATTTTTTCTTGTCTTTCAAAAAAAATTCGATGTCAATAAAAAAGGACATAACAAATTTTCTGCCAAATAATCTTGCCAAGAACGGAGTGGCATTAAATATTTTTTCAGAAGGGAATTTGAAAAAATTTCAGAAATTCCAACATTTTTTTCAAATGTGGAAAACCCGGGTCCTGAAAATCTCCAGCCCGGAAAGGTCGGGTCCTGAGTTTTCAATTGCGGTTGAAAAATAGAAGTTCTATTCGTTAAGTATATTTTTGAGGAATGCTGTTAACACTTTAAGAATCTGTATAATATGTGCTCAAAGGGTCACTTTTTCCACACAAAAGATCAGCAGCATCAGCTTAAGCTCACCCAATTTGACGTGTAGATGACAGGAGGAGGCTCAAAAGACAACAAACAAAAGAGAAAACTGTTTGACCACTGAGATATATATTCGGTATTTGTATGTATGAATGAAAAGTGACGGGTTATCGAATTACACACCCATATGTATAGATTCAATTACCAGAAGAAGAAAGTGAAGAAAGATCGTAAGAGCTGAAGATCGGGTTAACGATACTGGAGAAAGTGAGTGGGAACAACGAACAAACTACAGTATTCTTCAGAAGGAACTGGAAGCTTGAAAGAGGAACGTTGATTTTCCCTAAACCTTCTGGTTTTAGGGTTCACACAAGAGTCAGTTAGCAAATCCTTACTACAGAAACAACATTTTCTCGTTTAATCCGAAATCCAAACAAATCGGTGAGCAGATGGCAAAGTAGAGAGAAAGAAGAACGTTAAAATGTAAATAAACAGTGTTACTAAATAGAAAGAAAAAGAAGACGAACCTTGAATTTTGAAATGAAAAGTCTGTAAAACCTGTAATAGGAGCACCATTTTTTGATATCTTTCACAGGAAATGAGATAAATCAGCTCAAAGTTAAAAGTTAGGGAGCCCTTCTATTAAAGGTTTTACGGGATGAAACGTTTTGATGTATGGCAATTTCCCATCAAAGTCCAAAGTGTCCAGCCAATTTTTTGCAAACCGCAAAAAAAGTCTGGAAACTCAATCCGAGGGTTTCCCTTTTTTCGATGACCAGAATGGCAGAAAACTTTTTGAAGAAGAAAAAAGAAACCAAATTTGACATACATGTGAATATGTAATAAGGGAAAAATGTTGATGGTCGGAGAATAAGAAAAAAGAATAAGAAATAAGGAAGTCAATAAGGGAGCGAAAGTGCGAAAAACTTTTGGTTTTACTTTCCAAGAAGCCAAGTAATGGGAAACGAAATAGACACAGATGAGATCTCACACTGGGATATCTCATTCTGACAACTGGTTTCTTCTGGTTCAAACTGAAACAGCAGATTGTATTTCTCTCTTAAAAAAGAGGAACATAACATATCAAGGACAAATTGGATTTGGAACGGTGGAGAACGACAGTTATACCTCAAACGTATTGCATTGGTATTCATGATATTTTTATATATGTAAACATGAATCAATCTTGACCGGAAAACACAATAAAAATCTTCGAAGGTGGAATAGGTAAGTGAATCGGGGAATGAGAGAAGTGCATACTTTTACTTCCACCCAATACCATACCATCATAATACACTTCATTCACTCGCCGTTCAAGTGTGCAACTTCCTGTTTGAAGAGGTTGGGAATGAGGAAAACAGCGGGAGCTGACAATTGTTCGAACATCTAACAATGTGTTTGGGGTTCCAGAACCTTCTAGATTTAGAATTTTCTATCAAACAGCTTCTGGCTTCTGGAGACGTCGCCAACATCATCAACATCTCTTCATCATAACATAAAAACGGGCCAAAAAAGGGAAGGAACCCATTACATGTTATGGGTATGAATGTCGAATGAGACGGCTTTGTGACAGCTTTCGATGTACTTGGTTCCGGATCCGAATCATTTGGAAACAAAATAACACAAAGATATCGTAAAACCTGTAATAGAAGGACAGCCTAATTTTTAACGTTGAGCCAATTTGTCTCAGCTCCTGCCAAAGATATAAAGTCTTTATCAACGATTAAATTGTTTATCATACTATCAGAGGTGTTTTATCTGTTGACACGTTTTTGATATCTTGCATAGGAATCGAGATAATTTGGATCAAACTTGACAGTAGGGAGCCCTTCTATTACAGGTCATATTGAATTTGATGAAAAATGAAAAGGATTTCCCAAGACCGGTCAATGGCAAAAGAGATGTGGCTCTTCGTTCGTGAAACCTGATATTCGTGTGGAAAAGTGTCGGGTTTGAATTTCTCAATTCTCGCAAAAAAAGACGAGAGGGTGGCCGATGGTCTTGGAACTGAAAAATGTGGAAGAACTAGGGAATCTATTCTGCAAGTGACACTTATATATCGAGATTCAGAGGAGCTGACCGCCTGACTGAGACAATTTATTATAGGCTATCATTGTTTTTTCACCATCTTCAATTTTATTTTACGATGTGGTTCAGTGATTTGTGTATGGGAACCCATTCTTTTAATGAGTTTTATTAACTGGTTGACGCATCAAATGATCACAGAAGGTCGTTCGGTGGTCGAAATGAGACAAAAAATTAGATAATTTCGAAAATCTTAATTAACCCAGTTTTTTATTACTTCCTGAAATAACTCTTAAAAATTTACCACAAAATTTGAAATAAAATTGAAATCTTGCTACATCCTCAGTTTTCAGTGAAATGTTTCATTATCTTTGCAAGTTTTCGAAGACAAAATACAAAAAAAAATCCAAAAATC